ACTTCGAAAAAAAAACATCTTGCAATCATGTGACATTTTTTAAGGATAAAAAATCGCGAATCGGTGAAAATCAACTAATTTTCGCAATGCCATTATAAATCTAAAGCCTCTCACAACTTCATTATACCTATTTATGTACATTTTTTTAGACGAAAGGCTGTGATAACGTCACGTCATAGTTTGAGACAATATCAATACGGATTAAATAGAGGATATTTGTTTAGTTCAGTGTAAGATCGGAATGTATTTCACCGAGTGAGCACCAAAAGGTATCGATATTTCACGAGTGGCGCAGCCACGAGTGAAATATGAACTTTTGGTGTTCACAAGATGAACTATATTTCGATCTTACACTAAACTAAACAAATTTTCTTTTTGTTATATGCAAAGAAACGTTTAAAAAAGACATTAAACCTAATACTGAATGAAAAGCGCGCCAAATAATAATACAACGTGACGTCATTTACGACGTCACGTCATTAAGTTGGTACCCAGTTCTGTGCACGCTCGTATTTCACTGAAACAACGTAAGGGGCTTAAATTCAAAACAGTGAAATTATCAAAGTGGTAATTTCACTGTTTCAAACAGTGAAATTACCAGTTTTATATCACTGATATATTTCTATAAACCACCGAAAAGCATGTAATAAATATATGAAATCGTAAATTGGTCTGAATTTAAACACATAAAAATTAACGGATGCGAACCTAAAAGTCAAAACTTTCTTTTAATCTCAAAAAGAAGGTGCGTCATAATTAACACGTGCGCACGTAGTACACATGTAATCTATACGCGCGCGAGTGATAAGTAAAGGTTTTCCGATGTCTTCTCTCAGCCACCATAGGTATAAGTTTATTTTTCGTAGGATGCTATGTAAATAAAGGGGATTTTGTTTAAACTATTACATGATAAGATAAAAACATTGTGACAACGCGATTTTTTTTAAAAAAAAATGATGCATGTGAATGTATATGCATTTTAAAGGCTCATTATGCTTTAGAAATGCTTTATTTTTCTTATTTTGAACAAAAAGTTTATGTTTTAGGCAAATACATGCATGCTTATACTTTCGTTATATATACATGCTTATCTACAGTTTACTCGTTGTTGGACGGATTTCAAGCGTCTTAGAATTAATTCATTTGCCATGCAAAACAAAAGTACGTAAATAAATAATGAAGACACATACTTTAGCCTGGCAAGAGACTTTTCTTCTTGCCAGGAATGTGAACTTAAACCTCTACCACGTGAATAACGTGAATACAACAACTCACACATACCCTAGCAGTCGAGAATTTACAATAAAAAGCTGAAATACAGCCCTTAAACCACAAATCACCGGCTTACCTGCGTCGACAGAAGAATTAAGGACTGCAAACACAAAGATAATAGGTTTAAAATCCACACTTTTGCATACTCCTTTGACACTATTGAATAAATATTAGTTTAAATTTCATGAACCAACTCGCTTTAAACACTGTATTAAATAACACAATTTTGTTTTCTTATTGAAATATATACATACATAAGCACATGAAGAAAGACATATCAAATTTGTGTAAGATTGTTGTTTAATATACCTCGTTAATTGGAAGATATAGTACTTTAATTAACTCCCAAAATGCCGAATAATTATCGTATAAAGAATAAGAAAGAACACCTAATCAAATTACAAAATGTTGCGATTTAGTTCTATCTAATTTCAGTAAAGTGTAACCTTAAACAATTACCTTAAACCCAGTTTTATACAGTTATTATTCTTCTATCAATACAAATACTAAATACGCCAATACATGGTCGCTAAGGGTAAAATAGTTTTGTAAATATTTCATTGTGTTAAACTCTTATCTTTAAATTATTAACTCATTCGAAACCAGTTTTGTCTTATTAAAAAATCAACGATTTTATGATAAATATATTAAAAAATAAATTACCAGTGTTCCCGTCCTTAAATTTATATTCCAAAGAGTTTAGTTCCGTTTAGAACGCTGTGCGCGTACTATAAGATTAGGTATTGTACACTTAAATGCGCATTGATTTTACGCTGTTCTATAACAAAAATATCGTGTATTCTCCTGATCGGATAACAAATTGAAGACCTATAATACCCAATCTCTCACAGGTTCACGGGCCTTGTCAACCGTCCAAATACATCAAAATAATAACCTTGTTAAATTTGTGCAATATATAATGCCCGACTTTGAATTTGGATGAGTCCATTTTAAGAAATTTAAATTTTAAATATCAAAGTATTAAAATTGAGCTGTTAACAATATAGAGCCTGGTCTGACTGCACGTGCGGGCACGTGTTTGCCTGGCTCTTAACTGTTGGCAAGGGCTATTCGCTTTCGGGTCCAGTAGGTTAAGGGTGAATATATACCCCATTTATTTCTGATTTTAATTTCTTCAAGTAACAAAACTTTTATCGCTTTACTCAATAAAAATGCAAATGATCACTTTGCGAGCTGACCTACTTTTTCAAGTCATTTTTGATAAGAAATAGATAAAGCGACTTAAACACATTTTTTTTATAAAAACAATTCAAATTTTCAAGTTTAAAACAAACACATTATTGTTAGCATAAAAAAAAGGAAATTTAAACATATCAATACTAGTGTTAAAACATTCCCCGGAGAAAACGACGAAAATACATTCTGCAGTATACAATACGTTAGAAATTAAATCAGTTGTTATGCATAACGGAATGAATATTGACCAAATGGGAACTACGAGTATACATTTCGTGATTTAACAAATCAAAGTTAAAGATCATTCATGAATAACCTATAACAGCACATGCCCATGTGGAATAAATGCCCCGTCGATATTGACAACTTACTGTCACTTTAACCGATCAATCGCTGTGCGTTCGATCTTTTATACTTTTACCAATAAGAAAATAAACTTTATTTAAACATCGCCTTGCTTTAATGACTTTTAATATAATAAAAGGGGATAGCGATATGAAATGATACGGTGTACTGTTTTGGGTATTTGGAAACTATTTGAGTATGAAAAGGCTAACAGCGATGCCACTTATAAATAGTTAATAAAAAGCAGTGAAAAATGACGTTCTGGAAGTGAAAACCGATCAGGGGACATTATAAAAATCAACAACACAATATCAGTTTTGACTGCGGAAAATATTACGTTTTCTTTTTATTTATATTTATATTTCACCACACCAGTACTGGTTACTTAATAGATTTCAAGCTGTTTGACAGCGATCCTTCACTTGTTGATTATATTAATTCAGTATACATGTATATTTTAGCAGAAGACAATTTAACCATCATGCAAATTTTAATGACAAAAATATGAAAAATATTTTTAAAAAATACTGGTTATCGACGTTCCAAAATTGACAAACTGTTAATGATAATAGTAAAAGAAGTCCGTACTTATGTAAAGTCGAAGAAATGCTGGGTGGTTGTCGCGAAACGCGGGCAGAAAATACACAACTACGATGTTGAAACGACTATATCGCGAAAAGATCGCGCCAAAGAAACATAAAAATAATCCTGTAAACTTAGTTTTCACCTTCCCTAATAAGTTTTAACCATGAAAGTTTCAGGTTTTCTATCATTCTATCATTTCTGTGATTGTGTTATAACATCACTTAATTTCACCTCCTATTGAAAAGTACAAATGTATTCGGAGATGACCCTAACGGCCCGCCATACAATAACGATACTACAAAACGGTTTTATATGTTTGTTTGGAGGTGTATAACAACAATGATATTGATCTACTGCGGAGTTGTAATAAACTTTATTTGATATCTTATTAAAAGTTGAGACCATACACTGAGAATAAGTATTATGCGAATTATTAGGCAGTAAAACCATAAATACACCTGAAGGCAATTACTTTTGTAAAATGTGTGTACTTGTGTAAGCATGCACGATGAACAAGACGACACCCTTATTTGAATATTATGGTGGCATATTTCTGACACCAGATAACCATATAACTAACTAGTTAATTAAGAGGTTAACTAGTTACGTAACTAGTTAACCTCTTAATTAACTAGCTAGTTATGTGGTTAACTAGTGACGTAACTAGTTATTGTTTTCAATAAATAAGAGATCAAAACAGGAAATAAAATGCATGTTAGTGCCTACAACTGCCATCCTTTAATTATTTTACCAGCTTAATATTAAGTGGTTAACTAGTTACGTAACTAGTTAACCTCTTAACTAGCTAGTAAGTTACATGTATATGGTTATCTGGTGGCAGAAATATGCCACCATAGAATATACATAAATGAGATTTATTTTATCAAGTTAATAAGATCATTAAGACATAAGATTGACTATGTCGTTATTTTAAATTTACAGATTAGAACCCGAAGGTCGTTGGTTCGAGAAACATCAAAAGTAAGATCCATTTTAACATCCACAATTCACATTTGTGTGATAACTAGTTAGCATTAAGTTCATGCCGGTCGGAGTCTGTAAAAATGGTTTCGACCTTTAAGTAAATGGTCTCTATATAGCATCTTATTTTCATTTTAACCTTACAATGCTACTTATGTTCAATCTGGATAAAACCATGCTATTTTTTATGAAGCAATGACGGAAGGTTGTCGCGAATTTTATGAAACTTTTCAAATATGTACCGATTGATACGGTGTCCTTATCGTGCCATTTATTATGTCGTCCGTCGCATTTAAGGGTCGACACACGACAATGCGAAGTGACATAGCGACAATGCGATACGAAGCGTTTGACAATGTCGAGCGTCGCTTCGCGTTGTCGAGCGTCGTATCGTATTGTCACTATATCACTTCGCATTGTCGTGCGCCGATCCTTCAACGCGACGGACGACATAATAAATGGCACGATAAGGACACCGTAGATTGAACAGCTAAAAGTGCAGGTCACGATCAGTCGACACGGATGTGTCGCCTGATCTTGTTCCGCACGTGCCGCCTGGTACCAGTGTGCACTGGTCGCGCCGTCAGAAGGCTACGAGTTGATAAATAAAAAATAATACGAAGAGATTTATCTTTTAATATTTTTCTTGGGGATCTGACATAACATCTAGCAAGCAATCGGGGTCTAGTTCGTTTTTGTTCGCACGTGTGCAAGGGAATAGTCCCTTAAAGCATTTTGATAAACCCCGAAACTTTCCTTTCCTTTTCGTTGCTTCCTCGTCGGGATTTTCCTCCGTCTCGTGTCTTTCTTCGTCCGCAGTTTCAACCAATTCCTGATTAAATCGTTTCCGTCGGCTGTTCTTTATTTTAGACTTGTCGTTTGTTTTTGATCGCCCACATATTTCATCTGCGCCACTACTTGAAATGTGATCATCCTCTTCCAAGGCCGGCATGGCGTTCAATTTGTAGAGACTAATATCTCGCCGGAAGCTCTCAGAAGAAGTTCCACTGTGCATGCGCACCGGCTCAAAACTTGGCGACGAATTAAGCCGAACTACTCCGAGTGGCGTTTCAATGGAGGAAGTCTTTGTCAACGAACTTGTACTATGGATGCCATAAGCATGTAAACTTGGGTATGTCTCAGTTGAAATCGCATTTGACAGGGACGGGTTATGTGATTTACTTGTGCGAAAGTTTCCGGAATAGCAACTGCTTACCGGATGTGTACCGGAAGTTGGACTGATTTGTGGCTTATTTGGTGTCTGGTTGTGTGGCAAGTCTGTCACAAGTCGGGCACTGTCATTGATATCTGTAATATCTGTAATATTATAAATATAATATAATACCAGATAGGGCTCTAAATCTTATGTATTGCTATAATGAAAACAGCAAAACTGGACATTTTAAAATTTTAATTGCAATTGTTTAATTTAAAAAGAACCAAACAGAACATCTTTTATTACATGTCCAGTTTTCACATGTTCAAAAATTATGACATACGTGAACGTAAAATTTTAATACAATATAAAGTTAACGTTAAACATCTTATGAACTGATTTCTATTTCATGACATTGAGAGTTTGAGACAATTATTTCGGACATCTACTGTCTAGACATAATGCTCACAGCATTTGCAAACTCCTTCAGTGATGTTTTTCTTGTATAATAACACCGTCACACAGGTTCTCAGGGGGACATATATAGAACGCAGCTGAAACGCCATGGAAAGCCGGGTTGGGAACGACTTGAGTAGCCTTGAGGGCAAAGTTTGACTGTCAGACATGACCGTTCGTTAAAAAGTATTTACTATGTTATACTGGTTTTAATATTTTAGCCATGATTTTGAAATGTACAATTTCTGACTCATTTTGATATTGTTTGTTTTGTTTTGAATAAAAGTCACATATCGTGACAAATGTGATTTCTCTTATGTAAACCATTCGGGCAGACATCTCCCTGGTTCGATAACTAATATATCACAAACGTCACATTTCATAAGACCATTTAAACTGGACTGCAGGTTGCGACAATTTTTTTCCGAATCATTAATGGGCAAAATTTCTCTCTTGTATCTAATTATGCGAGTGCACTGAATACAACAGACAGAAAGGGCCGAGAAGATGCGATTGAGATTTAACATGATCTGATAGTTTAAAAATCAGCCAAATCTGACATTATACATGTATTTCTATATAACGTAAAATGTGACCGATTTTAAACTAGCAAAATATATTAAATTGACAATATACTTTCAAAGACTACTCCCTCCTATAAAATGAAAATATATATTCAATATCAGACAAATATTTGTTTTACAAAAAGGGAAACTGGTACACGAACAGAGATATGTGCCACAATCTGCGGTCCCTTTCCCGAGTGCCTATGGTCCTCAGAAGCTTGTTTAATATACTTTTATCAACTCGTTCAAATAATTCAGTATAGAACCTACATTCATCCAGTATCCTCTCTATATAACGTTTTGTGAAATGGTATAAAATACTAAAAAGTTTAAATGCTATACGTCACGTAACGAAATGAATTAAGTTAAGATTATAATTATGTGCAACATGGTAGACGGCTTGGTTGAAATGGAATGCGTTAAAATGCATTTGATGCCATTGCGCTCATTTCTAATGAAATTATATAAATTGTTGTTATTCAGCGTGTCGTCTGCTTACCGAAACACTGAGGACATGTGTTCATTTCATCATAAATGTGCTCTGGAATAGTGTTGAACACATCCAGGTTTATCTCCACGGCAACGCCCTTGTTTAACTAGAAAAAAAATTTTTTAGTTAAAAATTTAATAAACATAAAATTGAGGGATGTTCAGAGACAGTTTATTCAACTTGTGAGCGTTTAATTTGCATACAATAAGGAATGTTGAGACAGTCATAAAATTTAAATAGTAAACTCTATGGCAACGACTTTTCTTAACCAGAACGAACAGGAATTTTGTTCAGCAATTCTATTTCATAATAACACCAAATTGAGGGATATATCTAATAAGACTTTAAAAAGACCTACATTTTTTTTTAAATCCAACATAACATCCATAAAATGGCTTTGTGTGAAGTGACTGAGTTGCAGTCTTAAAATTTGATTTAAAAACAATACATTGCACTTTCAGAAATACTTAAATGAACTCCACTGAAGTCTAAAAGCATAAATACATAAAATTGAATTTCCTACATAGACCAATTGCGGTACAAAAAGATATGCAAAATATAAATAAGCATTTTTCAAAATTAGAAGCATGGTTAGACAAACGTATTACACAATCAAACTGTTAAAACTATGACAACAGCTTTAAAACATAATGGTTTCTTAATTAGTCAACATAAATGAAAGCTAACATATAATAAGCTAAGATGTAATCTAAAAACAGATTTAACTTACAATATTAAACATTTCTCTTCTTCGACATGATTCTTAACTTCCTTCGTATACAGAAGAAAATCAACTGCGCTTTGTTGCCAACGTCATGACGTCACAAACGGTGTAATTATGACAAAATAAACGAAACGTAAGATAACTGTAGAAATGTAACGTAATAAAAGAAACGTCACTTGTTTGAATGTATATATCTATGTTATTGTCTGTTTTTTACGCCGGTTACAACACATTTTTTATCATCCTAACTGGCTTTTCTGGATAGCTAACCAGTAATAACAAATTTCCACGCAATTGATAATCATTTATTGGCGAGGACATTTTTGTGGTTTTGATGAATATGGTTTTGATCTAATTAAATCTTATTTAAAAATGGAACCTTTTAATATATATAGATATATAAGATTTCACTTCTAATCGACTACATGTAGTAGTAGGTCTAATAAAATGATGTTTTATCATTCTCATAGCATTTGTGTATAACATGTATAAACCTAGATTTAAATTCGTTCTAACCCTGCACGTTTCTCATGAATAATTTATTGTTAAAATAATCAATAATGCAGATGAATATGTAGTATACAATGATAAATCTCACTTTGCAACTTGTAAGATCAAACGTTTATAAATTGGCAGGCACATCCCATCATTGAGAAAATCAAAGTACTTAAAGTATTGACGGAAGGCAATGTCGATTAATAGGTCTCCTTCTGGAAAATTGTTCCGGGGGAAGTAGTTTAAAAAGCTTCCCGATTCTACAATAATGTCTGATCCACCGCTAATATGTCACATATGATAAGCTCAGACCCAATCTACAAAGGATCCTAACATCTTGACTTTCTCAGACTTATTTGAGCCGCGTCACGACAAAACCAACATAATGGGTTTGCGACCAGCATGGATCCAGACCAGCCTGCGCATCCGCGCAGTCTGATTAGGATCCATGCTGTTCGCTATCAGTTTCTCTACTTGTTATAGGGTTTGAAAGCGAACAGCATGGATCCTGAGCAGACTGCGCGGATGCGCAGGCAGGTCTGGATCCATGCTGGTCGCAAACGCATTGTGTTGGTTTTATCGTGACACGGCTCATTTACTGATCAGAGTAATGGTGGTGGTGTTTGTAGTTTACCTTCCGGATCACGGCAGGTACCCATTTTGAATACGCCAGAGGACAGTTCAGCCTCCGCATCGTTCCTAGACAGGCTGTCAGGAAAGGAACTGGTAACTTCTGTCCATGCCAGTAGACAGGATTTCATGATAAATCACATCAAAAGTGACCTGCATCGTCCGGGAATCGAACCCGGGTCGTCCGATTCAAAGTCCAACGCAAAGTCTGACCAAAGGAAGTAACTCTTGCCGTTTATAATCATTTGATGTTCTTGGAACATGCAAGAAGGACTGACGATATTAAGAGCCTTTAAAAATAATTAAAAAATAATAATTTTCAACATTGAGTGTTCCACATTGTCTCGTTAAAAATGCGTATTTTCCTTTAAAGAGTATATTATGACCTTTAGAAAATGAAAACGACCATTAAAGGGACTCCACTGAGGTTTAAAAAAACATAACATTTGAATTTCTTGCATAAATGAGCTATTTAAAAAGAAATATATGCAAAGATAGTTAAGAAATATACTTTGAAATAAATTTAAAATCGTATTTTTATGCTTTTCTTAGCCCGATTTGAGTGAAAAGTGTTTAAACGCTTTTCATTTTGGGTCATTTTTTACAATTTGAATAGTTATTCTGGAAAAAGATTTTCAGTCCCATTATGTCAAAATACCTCTGTGGAGTCCCTTTAAAGTTTTTAATATCTATAGAATATCTCCCTTTATCACCCTAAATCACAGGTTTTACTGTAGGTGTGACAATAAATGACTCATTGATAAAGCGTATATAGGCCTATATCGTTTTGCAGTAGCAACGATTTCATCATAAAAATTCACAAGAAAATGTCATTAAAGCATTTACGCCAGTTTATTGTGCACAAAGTTTACTTGGTGTATAGACTAGCCAGCGTATACTGAAAATTTATGGAAACTATAGGATAACTTTTATATATAGGCTTAAATTTAATGAATACGACTTACACTATGTTACAATTATTGATATCTGAACCATTTATTCTAAAATAGAATTAATTTTAAAAAAAAAGATTTGTTTTGAAATGGATTATCATTCGGTACACGGAGATGTGTCATAAAGTTTGGATGGACGTAGAACAATGCTCATTAGCAGACGATATTTCTTTCTCAAGATTTAAATTAATATACAATCTAACAATTGTAAATTTCGAATTAAATTATATGGCTCAACAAGTGTATGTTCATCATATGGATTGTTTTGGACCTGTCAATTGTCAGGTAGCACGGGGGAATGTGCGTTGAATCATGCGAGGAAACAGATGTCGATTTATCTTATCATTGCATTGCATTTTATTCAAAGCCGCGCAACAATTAATAATTTTATTTTCTAAAAGCAAAATGCTAGGTCCAAGCTTAGAACTCGGGCTTATTATATTAGCCAACATCTCGGCGTCTGACTCGAGCTCGAATATGTTACCATATGATAACTACGAAGAGATATGTAACCGCTTTGACAGTTCCCGCGTACCATGCAGATTTCAAGGCTACATTTAAGCACTGCCTGGCCTCAATGGCTTTCGTCATTGGTATACAATTGAGATAGGTCTGCAAATTCTAAGTGATGAGAAGGAGGGGAAAATACACCAAAACTTTCATGGAGTTACTGATAAAAGTGGTAAGTAAAGTCTCTTTGTAGAAAGTTAGACGCTATTTACTTTTTCCAAAATATCTAGATCGGACTTGAATTGTCAATTATAGCTGGGATATACGATATCGTATGTCCCAGATTATAGTCTGTGCAGAGTTTATTTAAGAATTCCATTATCAAGTTCATTTGTTATAACCATAAAGAGGGCTTATGGCATATAATATAAATATTGATTATCGAAAGCAGTGACTTAAATTACAGAATAAAGCGCTATGTCGAAAGAAAACAAATATTTAGAAGAAAAAAAAACAAAAAACTTTTATCATCTTACAAAAAGTATACTGCAAGGGAAGTAACCGGTTTGTGCATTCTGACAACAATCTACTCGCATTGGTTTCCCCTTTGCACTATGTTTGATTAATACACCAACAGAAAAAGGAGAGTAATATATTAATGGTAATCGAGCAAATTAACAAATTTTCAGTATAGTACATATAAAGCTGCAATAATAAATATTTAAACATTAAACTGAATAACACTGATATTAATAGTGATAAGCATATTTTATTCATTATAATATTCGTATTAATTCGTTTTATTTAAGCTTCGAATAATTATATAAATGTCTTCACAGATTGAAGGTCACTTTTGAAAGAGAAATATCTTTAAGATGGTATATCTCTGTATCTTTCTGCTGAACAAATTGTCTTCGTATTTGTCTGTTGTTATGCTAAAATGGCGCTGTATATGAAACAAAACTTTAGAAAAATAGAAGTTATAGTTGTAGAACATTGTTCCGAAGAAAATCCGTTATATTTCTGCTAACAATTACATTCAAGCCGACCTTTCGTTGTCCTTCGGCCATACTTCTGTTCCGCAAAGGTAGTATTTGCTTTGAAAAAATACCGTTTATATCTTCAGAAATTCAACAAATTGCATTTAAGGGTGTGCCATGCATAAACTTTAAACATTTTAATAAATGGAATGAATAAAATACACTAGTTATACTAAGATTTTTTTCGTAATTTCTAAGCAAACACACGATTGTTTTAAATTTTGATAGGTGGGATAATCGATCAAATGTCACGTCCTCAGTATTTTTCAAGATTTCTTGACATTTTAGTGGAAATTTTTGTCACGTAGATTAACTTAAAGTTCTCTTAATTTGAATTTCATTTTTTCATATTTATTTCGATGTTACAAAACGAAATAACCAGGCGTTGTTAAATGACCTCTTGGGACTTCCAAATTTTTTATGCAAACCCTTGGCCTTGATTTCTTATCTGTGATGTAAATTTATGTCAATTCAGAAACTCTTATGTACTTGCTAGTTCTAGGACATTGACTCAATTATTTTGTTATCCCCTCATAAATTTTGAAGGGTTGACATTTGCCCCCTTAAAAATTGAAGGGTGGACACTCGTATTATTATTAAAAATTTTGCATGGTGGACATTTGCATTTTAATTAATTTTTTTTGTGCAATTAGCTTTTTTCTTCAAAAAAGACATTACTGTTTTTTTTTATTTAAATTAATGTTCTGCAAAGTAGTGGTTGGTAGTTGATGTTGTACTCAGTGTTTTGTTTTTTACTAACTCGGGAAGAGGCCTTAGCCTCATGACTTTGGGAAACAATTTCACTTAAATTGCTATTATATTTTAGTAAATAAAACAGCTTGTGTAAGTTCAGATTTTTATGAAACCTGCAAGTTATTGATAGGCATGCTTTATATAAGGTGAAAAATCGCTGGGACTTCACCTTCCAGATTACATGTTGTTCAAGTCAAATTGTGTGTACAAATCATAACTTAATTCATGCATTGCAGGGTTAGACATGAACATTTTTAACCACTGGACCATTAGCCCAGGGTCTTTCAAATAGAATGGTGTGAAATAGCGCCATGTAAACACTTCACGCTACAATTAATCTTGTCTCGAGTCGGTATAACTTGGTATAGTTTGCCAAAAGCAAATTATGTAAGTGTTCAAGAAAAGGGCAAAAGTTAAATACAAGAACAGACTTCCCGAAAGTTGAAAAAAACTGTCAGACATTCGGTCTGGCAAACCATGAAAATCTGTCGGACCGAAACGAATTCTGTCGGACCAAATAAAATTGATTAAAATCAAAGAATAACGTGTGTTTGTATTTCTTAGACACTTTTTGTTTTTGATTTTTTCGCCGTAAAAATCGGCACATTCCTTACCGCGCATTTTCATCTCCTTCCTAATCATACACCAAAGATTCACTGACATGCTTCTAATTTTCATTAAATTTTGTAGCAGGTCTATTCTTTTTATCCTTTTACTACTGTTCTGCACGTTCCTCTTACGTAGATTTTTGATTTTTCCAAGGTTTGGCACCTTTAGCGACGCCATTTTGTATACATGCGGCTTGGATAAAAGCCGGACAGTCTGACCGATCCGGAATAAAAACTCGTCGGACCTGATCAAAATTTATCGGACATGTCCGTCGGACCGACGTATTTCGGGAAGTCTGCAAGAACAAAAATTAAAATTCTAGCGACATGTTCTTAAAAAAGATTTTTACCTTTACACTGGGAACGAAAAATTCCTAATTTTCATTGCAAGTCTATAAAATTGTTACTTTTTAAAGTAAAAACTGGTAATGTAATGTAGCCAGGATTAGTTTTTTTTATCAATTTAACAAAACATTATCTTATATTTGATGTACTTTTAGCTGAAGAAAAACCTATATACATGTACATCATGTATTCCTAATTCCAGAGTAACTTTATTGTACTTTATGAGGAAGTTATGAAAGTTACTTAATACATGTATAAGATTTACTTTCATATTATTAATAGGAAGTTATTTTTCCAGGATGTTGAGTAAATCGGCAGTCACAGCTGTTAAAAAGGTTGGCCTTGTCAACCAGCGGGCCTTTTCACTATGTAGGGTACTGAATTCAGAAGTGGTTGGCGCCTTTGGAGTTGAAGATGCTAAATCAAAAACTATAGACTTGAGAGCTCTAGAACCTAGTGAACTTACACAAGAAATCAAGGATGAGTACTTTCCACAAATAGGTAAGGCCACTCTTAAAAAATTATCTGTTTGCTATTGCCGGCCGACCCAGCGAAAATGCCCCGACTCAAAAGTTTTTTTCAGCTTAAAAATCAGATTTTTTTTTATTTCCGCCAAATCAGCCAGGGCATTCGACCTAAAAAATTCCCTCGAAAACAAAAATAAAATCTGAGGAAAATCACACATGTAAAGTAACGAGTGATCATTCATGAGGGCATTCTGTGCGTTACTATTTAAAGTATTTACATAAATAGCGACCAACCAGGGAAAGATATTTTCCTTACGTCACGCAGTACTGCATGCGCGCGGCAATTAAGTTGAATTAAGTAATAAGAGAATGTATCAAAACAGGATTAAAAATAATGTTTGTTCAATTAATGAATATTTGTAAAGCATTTATATGGTCACTAGTTTACCATGTGGTAATTTGAATGTGCTTTGGAGTACATGTTCGTTTGTTGATGACTGCCGACACAGATTAAATACTTAGCCCATGCAATAAAACATTTCTGGTAGCAGCGGGGATTCTGTCATAAAATTGACTGAAAAAAAATAAATTTTTGGAAGCTGTGGTCCTTTCATATGCATTGTTGTTTTGATAGCAGACACAATTATTTCACAACATCTTCAAGATCATAAAAATGTAAATAAAATATCAAAATCACAGATATACATACGTTTAATTAAACTCCATGTCAAAATGAACTTACGATAAATAATATGTCAATAATTGACACAATAAATATCCAACATTTTTTTTTTACTTGAGCAATAATTAAACATGTGTAATCATTCCTTGACAAAAAGAAATGACAGTTTTTTTCTGATATATAAAAAAGAGGTGGAAGTCAATTGAGTGTCGGCACTTCTTTGATGATTCGGCAACAACTACAGGTGTGTAAACATCAAAGATTCACAGATTCTTCAGAAGAGCCGACCAGTCATTTGTCAGAGGTCATTTCGTGTGTAAATTTTGTATTTATTATTTAACAATGGAAACATTATATTCCTTTTATTTATGGATGCTACTTTTTGCGCGAGTGTTTTTGTGTCTTTTAGCGCTATGGAATTTCAACAATCGGCGATAATTTTCGGTAACTAACAATGAAATATTTTAACATTTTTAAAACAGGGGTGCAAATATCCGCCATTCAGAAATTATAGGAGACAAATCTTGCGTGTGTTATTTTTTACAGACGTGTAATAAATTAAGTAATGATCACCCGATAGAACGATATGTCCTGGTGATCCACTATAATTTTTCCAGTTCGTACGGGAATATTTACGCAGGAGAAGTTTATCACATCGGTAATTTGACCATGCTTGAATTTATGTCCACATAGTCATTTTTTTATTTCATGTTATGATTACTAGTGAACATGTTTTTTATTGTTTTTGACTGTCTTTTACATGTAAGTTTTGCCGTCGCCGATGATGATAGTGTACGTAGTCCAAATTTCCACAATCTGCTACAACGTACTAAGCGTATTAACTTACGTTCAGTAAAAATCATATATCAAAAAAAAAAAAGCCTACCTACCGACCCACTCCTTATAACTCTGGGTCGGCAATAGCAAACATATATATTATTAAGGATGGCCTAATGTGAATTCATGAAGCTGTTTTGTAGATATTTGTAAAATGTGTTAGCTTATTGCAAATTTTCAAAGATGCAAAGTAAATACATAAATACATGCAAATAGAAGAAAAGACCAATATAAATGTATTTCATCTTTTACTTTAAGGAAAATATATATGTCTAAAAAAGGAGTAGTTTTTGATTAGGGTTAACCAGTTTGACATGAATTGTCAGCCCCAGCTAATGGATTGGTTAGTTATAATCTCCAGAATACAATCAAAATTAATACGGACATTGTGCTGATGATTGAATGTTTAAAGAGCTAATCTTTATATTATATTGGTGATGCAGTAAATTCTAGTATTATTTCACAGTATCAACAAGCAGGTTTTAATGAGTCTTCTGTGAAGATGTGACCGATAACTGACTATATTTTGGTTTTCCTTACTGAATTAATTTTTCATTGGATGTCAATTCATCTATTACTATTTTCTTAAGTAGTGTATAAATTTTCAACATACACTTTAACATTGCAATGAATTCATCTGAAGCTTACAGTTCATTTATAAAATATATTAGAGAGCATGCGACTCATTTGTCATCCCCCTGGCCCAGATCAGATAAATTTCCAACTTGTGTAAGACTAAAAGAATAACCAGTCAGAAATGTTAGAACATGGCATGATAGTATAAGTATCTAAATATCAATCGTCTTAATTACCTTCTTCATGGTTTTAAAGATACGAACAAATTTCATAAAGAATTTTTTTTTTTTTTTCTACAGGGAACAGAGATATTGTTGGGCCAAGTCACAGTGTGAACTATGATTACTTTGATACCCCTGATTTCCCTATGCCAAGTGTACGCTTCGCTTCAAACACTCCAGAAGTGCTGGCACTAAGAAAGAAAGAAAAGGGTGACTGGAAACAACTGACCTTGGAAGAGAAAAAGCAATGTGAGTTACTATTTTTATGCCCCCCACTTGTCAGTCTATCTCAGGACTCTGTAGAGTGATAAAACAGTGGATTGTGGGGGTCATCCATGTCCATGAAACTAATAGTCTGGACAGACTACACAGATAATCACTTTCTGTTTCAGTATGTTAAATAAGTATTCTAAATTACCTTACAGAAGGAACCGTAAGTCTGAGAATTTTTTTTTATATTTCTTGGCATGTGGAGCTGATATGATTGAAAATAATTTATTCAGAATGTACTGGTCAGAAAAAATGTTATTTCTGAGTCAGCTTGTTTAGATTAGAGCTACTTCAGCATACAGTGTATTTCCTTGTTTTACACATTTGTTTAAGTATTTGTGTACAGGCACTGTTTGAATGACTCAAAAGTCCTATGCTGACATTAAGGCCCATAATAATGCATTATGCACAAGAAATGCCCCAGAAATATTTAAACCATCTTTTGCCTATTTTCCTTTTGGCAGATAGTGCTGTTATAGTGATTAAGTATTTTGTATGAAAGTCAAAATACCACTTTGTTTACATTTTGCTACTTTCATGACAAATAATTTCACATTCAATGCTATTTCTTCCAGTTGATAACCATCTACATGTACCATGCTCAAGTCAACCATTATTAAAACGTTATAAAACTATTTATCTGACATGTTTAGAAACCATATACTTGTCATGGAAAAAAACAAAAACATGATAAAAAAATAAGTAAATATAACTAAATTATGAAAAGTACCTCACATTTTCTTTTTTTGCAAGATATTTATAGATAAACTGTAGATCTTTAAAACCTTTTGAATAATTTATAGTTATTTATTTTACTATTCTACATATTTCAGTGTATAGAAATACATTCTGCCAAACATACGCAGAGATGACGGCACCAACGGCTGATTGGAAGAGGATCACTGCCCTATTTTTTTACACAATTGCAGCTTCTATACTCCTCTTCTTATATAATGTAACATATTGTAAGTATCAGGGTTTTCTTTGTACAATTAACCTCCACAAAATTTGTTATTGGCCATTTAGTCTACAAATTTTCTTATCGGCCACGTTGTAATGTAATTTACTTTGAAAAAAAAAAGATGTGCCTGAAATAATGCATAGACAAGCACCTGAGGTCTTCCTCCACCAGTGAAGCTGGTAAATGTATATATAGGTTTCTATTGACTGTTTTGTGTATGGTTATCTGGCATCCATTTCTAAAACTATCACATTATCAATTTTTGGAATATAAACTATAATAAATGACTTGTATTTTTTCAGATGGAAGACGTCCAGTTACATACGACAGGGAGCATCATCAAGCTATGTTGGCAAGCATGTTGATGAAGAATGTTGGTCGCTACAGTGGTGTCTCGTCCAAGTACGACTTTGAGAAGAATGAATGGAAGAAATAAACATATTTGTCTCTTGTAGTTTTTGTTGATTATCAATTTATATAGAAATTTTTACAGGGACATAGTGATTTTGTGATATAACTTTGTTTTGGTGTTTTGTTTTAAAAGCCTTATACCAGATTTTTTCTATACTTAAAAGAAAGCAGTACCAACAAGCTCCCATAAAAAAAGTTTAAAAATTTTTATGTGAAAATTGTGACAGTTATGTCGGGGATAAAAAAATGGATTACCTCACATTTATGTAATATATGCACTACTAAATGATTTTGAAGCAGCTAGCATTTAAAAAGAAGTAAAATGTGATGTAATATGATTAATATTGTATGTTATATATTTTCCAACATTAAAAAGGCCTTTGTGATTATATTACAGCGCATCTGAAGTCCATACTAGGCTATATTATAACTCAAGATCAGTCAAAATCACTATATATTACGTAAGTAAAAAATACGTTTACATGGAGGATTAATACATTAATTGAAGAGTTATTAATATGTTTAGATATGTTAATTGCCATCCAGTGATCTTTGAACTAACTAATAGCCAAACAAAGTTCAAGGTCTGAATACCAAGTATCCAAGTAATTGCAGCCCTATTGGATTTCTTTTTTTGGTGTTTTTTATAAAGAAAAACTTCAGTATGAATGTTGTAAACCTTTCTAGAACAATATCTCTTAGCAACAACTAAAATGTTTGTTTACCAAAGGGTGTTGTTTGGCAAAGGTTGTACTGTAATGACTACATACATTGTTTTGTCTTGTCTGTTTTCTACATTCCCAAGTCATTTTGTTACATAACTAGTGAAAACTACTGGACATAACAGTATTACACCTGGCTGTGGGTATCAGAGTTGAACTGGCTTTCTTTCAGGATTGTTTATACAGTGAAAGTCCTTGAATTTCTTGTTGCAATACAGTGTGCCAGTAATAGAGGGAAACTAAAAGGGCCCCTATGTCCAATCATCATGTTTGAGGCAATAATTAGCATGACATTCCTGCTCCTCTTGCAGTCCACATTGCTGGTAGGTTCTACACAATAATTTAGGTGGAGGCTGACAGCAAGATAGCCAGCACCAATACTTAAAGAATAATGACATCCAAGACTTGAAAATACTGTGGTTCATGTATTACTTGGTCAGTAACACGCAGGAGAACTCCCTTGGTTTATTGTGGTGGATAAAAGTTTGACATTAAATTTTTATATATTTTTTTAATTTTCAAAGTCTGTAGGGAAGGGACATTTCAGCTCAATTAATGGAAGAAAACTTAAGTTGCTCATCTTGTGTATTTATAAATAAGACCATAATTATGGTGACATTCAAGCTCTTCTGTGGAATAAGGTTAAATAAGTTGCTCATTGTGCATTTATGAGCACATATTAAGGCTATAATTATGGGGACATTTAAGCTTTTGTAATGCAGGAAGAATGAAGTTGCTCATCTGTACATTTGCAACAAATATTTAAGGCCATAACTTGGTCGACGTTCAAGCTTCAGTAAAGCTTGGAGAAGTATCCCTATGTGCAATCTTTAAGGCATAAAATAGCTATTAAAACTGATACAAATATGAAAGCTCCCAGCTGAATCTTAAAATTGGCTTGTGAGGAATGGCAAGCTATCTGAATAAAAAAGAATATTTGTTTTGCATGTAAGATAGAAAGTATATTATATTTCAGAGTGAAATTTTTTCACAAGTGGCACAGCCAGAATATAACAGCTGGTGTTCACTTGTGAAAAACGAAAAACAAAATTGATCCTAAATACTAAAAGAAACAAATTTTTTTTTTCTTTCATGCAGATTTTAAGTTCTTTTGTTTTTGCCTTGTAACATTATTGTATTGAAATTGGTATTCACAAATTTTAACACAATCTTTAGGCATGATACTTGGACCTCATTTTATTCATATTTCATACATGAAAAACTATAATAGCCAGATGATCAACCTGTAGGTTTCTTACAAATTATTTTTCCTGAGCTGTTGACTTTGATCTCAAGATTTTCATTGGTCAAAGATTTTTGTTGATCAGAATCAAATACCGGAAATCTGACTTTTAGCATAATTTTTTTTTCTTTATACCCTCAGACCCTAGTCACTTTTTAGAATCCTACTAAGGCTAAGTATACCAGTACTTATAATTTCAGAAATATATTCACTATGTATTTTCAACACTGCCATAATAACAGAATACCAATGGTGTACCTTCTTTTAGTCCATGTTGACAATCCAGAGCATATCTCCAAACCCCACTTAGAAGTAAGGCTCCCACGTTTACAATTTTTTGTAAACGTTTACACGATTGCTAAGAACCGAAACGATACCGTTTAAACGGTGGTACCTCTATGTACTATATACACACCATGTATTTGAGTCGCCAAATGATGTCTTTCTTTCTATTTTTTAATATATGTACAAATAAAGAATGTGCAGGGCTCATCACGATTGAGTCAGCACACATTTTTTGCATTGTATCCCCATTTTTTACCAAAAATGTATTATGTGACGAGCAATTTTGCACGGTAATGCTGTGTGGAGGGTTGTAAGCACCCATTTTCCTTTTGTTTACTTTGGAATAAACCACTAGAATTGATAAAGTCCATGAATACAGGCAATGATTAAGAAATTTTGTAAAACAATATGGTCATTTCGATTAAACGGTAAACAATATCGTAAACGTTTATGAATGAAAATCGAAACGAATCCGTTTAAACATGTAATCGTGGGGGCCTTACTTAGAAGTCTGCCTATATATAAACTTAGGCCAAGCTTTGCCTCTGGATACTTATATAAAATTTATATAAATAAATATAAATACATAGCTTAAATGAACCCAATTTTTTAAAAATCAGATAATAAAATGGCAAGTAAATGCATAATATAAAATTTATTTGTTTCTATCACAGAAATACTGGGTACATCAAATAAACATTTTTTGCATTTAAACATTCAGTAACAAACAGTTCATATTGTGACATTAAATAACAAGAAAGTAAAAAGTATGAAACTTTCAACATCCTTTCATATTTATATTATATAAAATGCAATACTGAATATCATTCTCAACAATATACATGTATAGAAGAACAACATGTATAGTATCAAAATAAAGAAAATACTCCTTCATTTTTAATATCTGTCTAAAAATATACAAAGTTCATCCATTTTGTAAGCTACATTTGTCTTCCAAGAAATGTAGATACTGTGCCTCCATTTATGAAGAGTATTATTTAGTCATTGTGAACATTTGTGAGGATTAAAGCTGCGCTAGATCGGAAGCCATTTTTGTGTGGGTATATCAAGCACAACATCCATGTCTGGGGTACATCTGCAAGAGGAAATGATAATCAGTTATTGTAACTTAAACCTGAAGACTGTATTTAATTTTGCATTTCTTTTTTAAAATTTATTTTGTCCATATCTTTGTTTAATTGGGTTTTACAACACACCGACAGAGTATAGGTCATATGGCGACATTCCAGCATCAGTGCAGGAAGACCTTGGGTGCCCTTCCATGCATTACTTCAGGCACAACCGGGCATCTGAGTAGAACCACCGACGTTCCATAAGCTTGCTGGATAGTTTCCTCATTACAAAAGAATCCAAAGTTGCTGCCAAGATTCAAACCCACAGCAGTGAGCAAGTGGTTTGAAGTCAATGACCTTAACCACTCAGCCACGGCCACCCCATTTTAGTCCATGGACAGCAATCTCTTACTGTTTTATAAGATAAATTGAGATCAAGCTGTCCATGCATCTGGTTATAATCTAAGGAAAAGTGCATGAATGTTCAAAATGAAAGCAGTTTATGGCACAATTATTGTTATTATAAAGAGGTCACTACTGAACAAGATCCACTTGGCAGACATTTCACTGTAAAATAACTTACTTCTGTTGATAAAGGAAGAACTCTGGGAACATTTGTTGGCGGAGGTTTGTTTTAGGATCTCGTAACAGCCGTTTCACAGACCTCTCTAATTCTGCATTACTTCTCATTAATTCTTCTTGTTGCTTCTTATGAAGTTCTATTTCCTATAATGCAAAGAGCAGATTAAATTTCAAATACTACCATAATTTAATTGATGTTTCTTTTAATTAACAGTATGTTAGACAACATAATCTTCCTAGATCTAAAAATTAGAACTATGATAGTATTTTGACTCTATAATTCATGGTTTGAGTACAGTGTATTTGACTGTCACAGATTCTAATAGAATTCAAACAGTATTATTTCAATCCCAGACTCCAAAAAAGTTTTTTGACATAACATGACTGGAAATAATTTTTGAAGATTACCGTTAATGTTCCCTTTGATGTAGGTTCAGACCAATCACTTGTGATCATATGCTCACTTGTGAAAAATGATCGAAAATTGAAAAGTTTTGCACTCAAATCGGACAAAGAATAACATAAAAATATGATTTTCAATTTATTTCTGAGAATATTTATTAATTATCTTTAGCAAAATAACCTTTCTGTGTTAAGTGCTGATCTGTGACAGAAATTCAACTTTACGTTTTTTAAGGGTTTTGGACCTCAATGGAGTTCGTTTAATTGTAAACACTTGACACAGAAACAATGTCGACATTTAAACATACAGTCAACTATCGTTATCTCGACATCGCTTTTCTCGATATTTCGTTATCTCGATGACATTTTAAAAGTCCCGATTTTCTTCCTTCTTTATCTATATTGGGAATATTTGTTTATCTCGATATTTTTATTTCGATATTTTCAGTATCTCGAAATAAAATTTAAGCCCTGACAGTAATTTTCCCGCTATTATCCTTTCTTTATCTCGACTTATAATGTTCATCTCTCCCCCACAGAGGTGTGAAAAACACAAACCAGACGATAATCACTTAATAGCATGTGTCATAATGATGACTATGTTTGTAACAAGTCGAGCTTTGTTATTAACATATTGATTGACTTATGTCCAAATTGAGTGAATCTTCCGTTATTTATAAAATATTCAAACAGTGTATTAAATTCAATGTGACTTTAGATGTAAATGAAAAAAGTGTTCATTACTGTTCCGTTGGTAAACATCCGCTAATTTAACTTTGTTAAATATCGACTTTTGGATATAAGGCTCAAGAAAACAAGACATGGAGATATCATACTTTTTATTTATTTGACTTAAGTTATGCCCATGCCTTTGTAAAATCAGTTACTGCCTTGTTCAAACGAAAGTGCCGTACTGCAATGTTAAACTATCTTAGAATAAAACGTATCCGAAAATACTTCACCAAAGAAGCAGCTGAAATACTAGTTATAGCACTCGTAATGTCACACTTGGATTATTGCAATGTCATTCTTTATGGTGTATCCGATTTTGAATTGAAAAAAATGCAACGTATTCAAAACATGTGCGCTAAGTTAGTTCTGCAACGAAAGAAATTTGACAGTTCAAGGCAAGCACTGTTCGACCTTCACTGGCTGCCCATCAAATCTAGAATCGAATATAAAATTTTGACTTTTGTATACAATTGTTCAATCGGTCATGCTCCAAAATACCTTTCTGAACTCCTAACCAAACAAGTACCAAATACCCGACTACGTTCAGCTAAAACCTCTGAGAACTGCTACGTTATTCCATTCAATAAAAGAAAAACATTTAGTGACAGAAGTTTCGGAACTATTGGTCCAAAATTGTGGAATCCGCTGCCATTAGAGTTGAAACAATCTAAGAATATTGATGTATTTAAGAGAAATCTTAAAACACATTTTTTCAGAAAGTTTGAATCACTATTTTAAAATCTGAAATGAGATAAACATGAGTAACGTATAACTGATGACTGACAGTGTGATGAATGTGCAATGTAAATGAATGTTTTATTCTTTTTAATCTATTTGTAATCAAGTTACATGTATGTACATAATCTTATCTCATGCTACATGTATATCAATCAGTTTTATCATTTTATGGTCTCTGCAATTTTTTAAAAATATGTTAATTGGAATTGTATGTAAAAGCTTTAATTTCACTTGATGTTGATCCACATATTCTTATGCATTCACAATTTTATTCTTATTATTTATATGTACTGTACAACGCCGTTGAATATTGTTAAAAAGAAACAGGCGTTTAATTAGATAAAAAGTTTCAAGTTTCAAGTTCAAACCTTATATGTTTATCTCGACATTTCGTTATCTTGATATATTTTGGACGGTCCCGATGACTTCGAGAAAACGAGAGTCGACTGTAAGAAAATTTAGATTTTAAGTGACCAATAGACTTACTTTTTTCATGACCATATTTTGTAGCGCCATCTCTTTTAGACTCTCATGCATCATCTCTATTGCCGATTCTGTAACTTGTTTTGTGACATTATTTTGTGTCGTCTGCTTCTCACGCTCATATTTACTCAACTCTGTTCTTGTTATATGTTCCAGTTCTTCCTGATCTTCCTGTTGAAGTAAGTAAAATTTTCATGAAGATATTTGATAGAAATGAAATTTATCATAAGAATCTTTACAAAAACATGTAGTCAAAGTCATGTGACAAAGACATTAATAACTACATTGTATACATGAAAATCATTTATTTTAAGATTGTTCACAAATTTTTTTTAATGATTTTTTCTTACACCAATAATAAATAAAGTGAAAACCTTATAATAATGCATGCTTTTTAAGAATGGCATGAAAAATGACCATTATAGTCTGACTTTTAATCTAAGATTTGGTTACATCAAAGTGTAATATGTACTATGTTTAAAGTATAAAATTCAAGACAACATAAGGTTAACCTTAAGATAAATTAAAATCCTGAATGGTATTGAAAGATGGACAAGTTCATTAAAGACAAAAGCTAGACATTTAGCTGGAAGGCTTGCCTACTTAAATTCATACCATTTTAGCCTTATTGTTAGTGTTACATTAGAATAGGGGGGATTTACAGACAAGGATTTTTCTAAAAATAGATTCACTGATAAGAGATACACATAGCAACAGTTGCTCGGGTCGTACAAACATTTTGTCCGACCTGTTACCAGTCATATAAAATTTATATTACTTTCAGTGTGGAGTCAAAATTTCGGTAGGACAGCACGCACGACTATTCTAAGTGCTTGATAGTAAAAGAGCCTTGGTAATGTAAAATTTTCTAAGTTAATAAAAGGGCCAAAATTTTCTTTATATCCGTGTTACAGTTGGCCTTGAAGAAAGTTCTATTATGCTCTAAAAGAAGTGTATAAAATTTCAACTTGTTTCAAAGCCAGATGTCGATTAATATGAAAATATCTGAGGTGGTTTGCAACTTTAACATATCTAAGTAAAAAAAGGGCATAATTCTGTCTGATTGAGTTACCTCCTCCTGTCTAAAGGTTGGGGTCATGATGGTGAACAAGTGTGCAAAGTTTCAAAGCCATATGTCAATGGACTTTGAAAATATTTGAGGTGTAACAAAAACTTTAACATAAGTGGTTAGGTCGACACAGACGCTCGGGTAACTAGGATAGCTCTACTTATTTTTATTGAAAAGTGGAGCTAAAAATGATATGATTATAAAAAGGAAACAGTATGATAATGAAAATAATCTTTTAAAGAAAATAAATACAACTCGAAAATAAATTTATACCATGAAAATAAAACAGTCACAGTATCACAAAATACACATATATGTATTTGATAACTGAAAACTAAATCTATTAACATGAAATTACAAGAAAATATATAATGATAGGTGAAAAATATTATTATAGCTAGAACAGGAAAAATAAAATATTCACCTCATACTTTGAATTTAAATAACATGCTTACCTCATTTGAAATTTTTAAACTTTGGATTTCTTTCTGTAGGTTGGAAATTTTCATGGCTTTAACAGGGTATTCTTTATCCTGAAATTTATAAAGAACAGTGACATCAGATATCACCTAATACATATAATCAGTACAGGGAGCACATGACTTATAATGCTCCTCACTGTTTGAGCCTGGAAAATGCAAATATTCTCAAAGGGAGATAATAAAATCAATAAAAGTGAATGCTAGAGTTATGGGCCTTGTAAAGTAATCTTTCATAAAGACCAAGAAAACATGATGTGGTTGTGAAGAGCTTGCATGCAAAACCTTAACCAGAAATTTTAAAAGTTCACAGAGACACAGAGTACACATATTCAGACAAAGTAAATGTTAGAGTTATGAGTCTTGAGTAGAGACCTAAAACTAAGATCCCAAATAAATGTTTTAGTTTCAAAAGAATATCTTCAGTGGTTAATGAAATTGTATGCAAAGCGTTATCGAAATAATACCAAGGTGAGTAGGATAGCTCTTACTGTATTCCAGCTAAAACATGATATTTAATTTTCATATTCACTTTCAGATCCTTCCTTTAAGGTTTGGTACACATTAAATACCTTCAATATATACTACAAAATATTAGTCTATAAAACACTTTAATATACATGTAATGTAATCTGCATTATCAATGCTTAAAATAACCCTAACAGTGTCAATGGTACAGAAAGTGATGAGACTTTGTCATCATTATAGTCAGGCCAGCCTGAGCATGCATTACCTGTGCAGTCTGACAAGGCTCTATACTTTTGTTTGGTAAATTTTCGTATTTTCATATTGAAATCCATCTAACTATCAATGGCCTGTTCTAAATTCTAAGCAGGGCAAGTTCCATTACACTAATTCAGTATGTTCGGGGTTAAATGTACCTTGTAGTTTAATAAAACATGGAGCTCATCTTGTCTTTCTTTTAATCTTGCATCCACCTCAGCCACTTCCCTCTCCACCACTGAAAATATTACAGAGACAAAAATTAGTTTCAAATTTACTCTTTTTTCCCTATCAACCATGCTTCAAGCAAATTTCTAAAACATTTCAAACTACTCCCCTATCAAACATACAGAGCAGTCATGTGCATTATTACATGATATATGCACAGCCTAAAAATGATATGCTTACATGTGATATGAAATCAGATATGATATCATTAAATCAAATAATGTCATGAAAATAATCTCTCTGTTCAATGTAATTCAACATATTTTTATCAATTCTCATTTTATTAGGAATAGTTATTAATTTTGAACTGTGACATAGTACAATAATGCATGATTTAATATTATTGAAATGCTTTGTAAATTAATCACTGAATTCTATGAGCCTTTGGGGTTATATATTGAAATCAAATTGTGCATTATTTTACAAAAGACAACACACTCAAAATTGATATCTTTTTCCCAAGCACAACATTCAATATAGATGCAATGTTTAATGAAATTAAATTTCAAAGATAAGTAAAACACGGTAGATCTAACAAATATCTAACAATTTCACAAAACTATACTCCTTGAATATAAAATTCATATGAGCAATGTCATGACAAAACCAACATAATGGGTTTGCGACCAGCATGGATCCAGACCAGCCTGCGCATCCGTGGAATCTAATCAGGATCCATGCTGTTCGCTATCAGTTTCTCTACTTGTAATAGGGTTTGTAAGCGAAACAGCATGGATCCTGATCAGACTGCGCGGATGCGCAGGCTGGTCTGGATCCATGCTGGTCTCAAACCAACTATGTTGGTTTTGTCATGACACCGCTCATATGTTTGTTCAACTATCAATGCTTTTACACTGAAAATTCAATGTTATATTGAATTAAAAGTACATGTACATGTTATTTCAAATTTTGTTTTCTCCCTAAAGGCAACCTGCTGGACACTGGCCCAGTTCTTACAATTCTAAAAGAAAGTTTTACTTACACATATTACTCATAAAAACAAAACATAACAATACATACAATTTATAGAATGACACTATCTTGATAACAAAGTATTTTTTAAAATGTAATTGAAAATTAAAATTTTATTTCCTCATCTCACCGCATATTTGTCTGAAATTCAAGAATTTAAGAACACTTGTACTTTGAACATCAAATTTCTTGTTAAGCTATTATACTAAACAGCAAAAATATCATTCACCGTAAAACCATTAAAACCACTGATAATGATCATCTTGACCTGAATCTATGTCTAAAACTTAATTATAATCTAAAACCTGCACAGTAAATTTTCTTATTTCCTGAAATTTCAATCAGACTTTGTCATTTAACTTAATGGAAATGCTGCCGTAACTAGATTTCCTTAACAATAAAACATGTTTTACAATTTCAGCTGTTATTGAATATCTTGGGAGTTAGTTTAAAGAAGAAAAAAAAGAGAAAAAGAGAAAAAAAAAGTTCTTATTTAATTTGGGAGTTAGTTTAGACAACAACAAAAAAGCCCCAAAAGAGAATAAAAGCGAAAACAACAAAACAGTTTTATTATCATTAGGGTTAGTGATGTAATTTGAATTGAAGAAATGTGAACGTATTGATAAAATTGTGTCTATATCAGTGATTCCACTTAAATATATCTACTTCAAACAAAAATGTAGTGTTTTGTTTCTCTGGTTAGGTTTAATATGTTGGCTGATTTCTGCCATTTTGTGTCTTCGCCCCTCAAAAGTCAAGGGCTAAAGTTATTATGTCTCCAACGTTGACTTTTGAGAGTGCTGACAAGAAGACAAAAGACCTTTTTCTTTAAAATTATTGTGTCAGTAGTTCAAAGTCTTCATATTTGCGCCCTATATTTGTCATGCTATTACCTCAAAATGCAAAAGGGGAGGACACTATAATTGGCCAATATATCAAATAAATATATAAAATAAATTTGCATGAAATTCTATAAAAATCATTTGATGTCAATTATAAAAGTTGGATTTTATCAAATTAAACGAAAATGACTAAAAATGTATCTAAACACCAAAAATGCTGCATTTAAACCTCCATTTGAGTACCAGTACTCCAACAAATGCTGCATTTAACCTCAATTTGAGAAACACAAAATTAATGATTCAGTGAAACCTCCATTTTGTACAATACGAATGCTGCATTTTAACCTCCATTTGCTATTACTGGAGGGAAAGAAAAGCACTTCAACCCTCTGAATGTTTGCACTGACAATCACTTGCCAATAATCCATCTATATAGAGCCAAACCAGCCTTACAGTCTGTCCAAACCACACACACTTGGTGGTCACACCTGATCCCACCTTGCTCAGCCCTTATCAACTTTCAGTAATTTTTATATTTGTAACATGACCTTTGGCATATATGTTTCAACCATAGAAGGTGTTTGAATTCAATTTCTGTGTAAATTTTTAAAAAATCCCATAATTCTCATGGCAACTGAATAAAACAAATTTCAAAATTAAGACAGATGTCCCACTTATGTTATAATGTTAAAAGTCACTAATAATACTTGACAAGGGCATAGGATCTGGGTCTGACCTCCTAGTGTCTGTGGTCCAGACCATTTACAGTTGGCCATTTAATCTTAGCTGGCCTGACTCTATAGGTGGCATATAGGCCTGCAATTATCTACAAAAACACATCCAAAGGGTTAAAATAATTATATACTTTCTGTTTACAGATAGTTTAAAGTTATGAGAAAATTAAGATTCTGTTTAGACTACAATAACAATATTAATATAAGTGAATAAAATGTAAATAAAGAACAATGAGACGGTGGCCAAAAATTACAATCATTAGTTTCTTCTTATCTACATTATTACTTTCCAAAAAATAAAAATTGGAATCACAACCCCACCATTCCGAAGAATAGAGGGGACTTTGACTTTGCAAATTTCAAACTCCTGGTAAAGGCCGTGCTGTCTTGCTTGGCTGCAGAAAGCCCAGTTAATTGCCACAAGCCAACTTGGAGCCATTACATTACTATTAAATTGATCCAACAGTGGAAAAACAGATGAAAGTAAAATATGACTTATTTCCCGGGAATGAATGGACCCCAGTATGTCTGTTGCCCTTTAATTTTAGAAAATAATGATTGCAATAAAGGGACCACCATCTTATACAGAAAATGTGTATCAGCTAGTGTAATCTTTTAATCAAAACTTTTATTAGTTTTAACAATATCCATCAGTCTATAGAAGTATTAAATTTTAAAGTAACTTAAAGATGTTTCACAAGCAATCACAAGTTATAACTCATAATTATAATACTAAGAACATGTAAATACATGTATAAAACAAAATACAACCACCTAAATATGTTTGTAACGCCCAGCACAAAGGCATATAATAAATACTGGTATATAATTATGTTATTCAGGTTTGGTTTAAATAATATTTTTATAAATATTTCCTACAGATTGTATGAATTTCAAAAAGTTCATTCAATATTTCTAACAGTCTGTGAAAATTTGTAGTTTTCTTATTGTCCACTTTATGAACAAATATGATAATGCTTCACATCAATTTAATGTGCCTCTGGTGTGATCCTTAAACCCTTTCCCCCATGAGCATATTGTGAAAAATGGCCATTTTCACTGAAAAGCCTCCTCTTACAAGTTCAAACTGCTATGAAACTATGAAATATGCTTCAATACTAATCAAACTTGGCACAAATGTTGACTGGACCATTGCCTTTGTAACGACATGCTCAGTCTTAAATTTCCTGTTACCATGGCAACAAGGGGACATCTCAAAATTGCCAAAAATCACTATTTTGCCTCGATTTTTTCCATCAAAATTTATTTCAAAGTGCTGCAACTTCTCAAGGGATTGAGATAGAGTCAAAGGCTTTTCAGCGTTGGTTACACGTTACCTTATGATCGACCTGGGGTCATTTTAAGCCTCTCACAAGTCCAAAATTTTCTTGGCGATGAGGGGGACTCCGCCCCCCTTCAAACCCCCGAAGGGGGCACATCCCCCTTCTGGCAACCCCCTGATGTATCTTTTGGATGGGGGGGGGGGGGGGGCGGCGCCGAAAAAGTGCTCACTTTTTTAGCAACATTTCTCAAACGAAAACATGTGTTTGGGGCCCAAATAGGACATTTTTTCACTATTTCAGGCCTAAAAGGGGGGGGGGGGTCGAAAGTGCATTGTTTCGCGTATATATAAGGTAAAGGGTTAAACTGAAAATAACCCTTTAACATGTACCTAAATTTCACAAACAAATTTTCACAAACTATTTCAGAATTTCAGATAATAAGATGCATGTTATCCTCATCAAGAAAATACATGATTTTGATAAATAATAAAGGAGATGATATAAATAAATATGTAATAATGTGAAACATCTATTCAAAATAATGAAAGTTATGCAGGTATTGGGATATACAAAACATATAAATTTTTGTTTAACCAAGTAGACTCTAGTCCCAATCATGTTAAAAGTTCATTTGTAAAATCCAGGGATGTCAGTATCATATGCTTGTAATCAACATTAACCCTGCTAAAAAAATATGTTATAGACTTGTCTTGCTCTCAATTTGGAAGGGACCCCTTACAATTTTAGGGATATAAACACACGTATCATGTAATAGAGTTTCACCTAAAATGGCCTTGTACTAAATTGTACTTTAAAAGGACTCTTTACTTAATACTTACATGACTTTTTTTGAATATACATATGTTGACTCAGAATAAGACTAAATGTACTGTAAATGAATGTATATTATTATGTTCATGTAGATACAATAGTATTTTTAAATGTAAATTATTGTCAGAAATCTTAAAGAATTGCACCATTTGCCCATGATATTACACTTTTTGACCCTATCATCAGAACTTGCTGGCATCATGATCTTTTACTTTATTGAACCTTTAGAATACTACAATAATGTCTTATAAGTCTACCTGATTCTGACAAGTTCCCTTAAAATAACAATGAACAGATCTAAATTTATAGCAGGACAAATCCAATACAAAAATTCATGGGGTAAAAAATGTGTTATGTATGTATATCCAATCAATAACGTGCATAACTTATACATAATACTGCAAATATATGTTGTTTCCTGCTTGTAAAATTCCCCTTTGCTATTCTTTTCATTGTAATAAATTTAAGTACACAAATTCTACCAATATCAAACATTTCAGATCATAAAGATACCTGTATCAAATTCTTCAACAGATTTTCTGAGAAAAAAAAATGAAAACATCTCTTAATGATTTTCAAAGAAATAATAATTGAAATTTTTCACATATCAAATCAAACAGTATATCTTCCAGCTAAAAAAGAATTCTTTATCAGCCAGTCTACATGTATTTGCAGTATTATTATGTAATAATATTGAAATATAAGAGAATCCCTGACCAATGATTAATATAACAGAGGTGTATTGTTTTCTGTAACTAATTGTGTCCTGTTATTAAATTACCTTTCAATTCTATCCATAAAAGAAATAAATTATATAATTACACATCATATAAAACAATATCAATACTGCTGAAAAAAATCAGGAAATCTGTTTTAATGAATATGAAAACTCTATTTGCATGACTGTTTTGATTTTGATGAAGATGGATTTTTAGCTGCCCCTTCTATGCATTATTTCAGGAAAATGTGGGTGCCAAAGTAGAACCATCCATAAACTAGCTGGATAGTTTCCTCACAAGAAAACTAAAGTCCCTCGCTGGGCAGTAAGAGGCAAATAATTTAAAATCAATAACTTCAACCACTCAGTCATGGTGGCTCGATCTAGAATCTATAAAAATTTATAATGTCAAAAGTTGCTGCTTTAACTAATTTAGAAAGATGTCATTTTCTACCTATGAAATATTTCTGGCACAATCACCATTCATATAGAACAATCAGCATGATTGTATAACATTATATAAACTAAACTGTCATAATTATAAAAGAATTTTATGATTACATGTATTAAAATAGCAAGTACTGCAATACTGAGGGGCAAAACAGGGCTGAACTATCTTGACCTTTCAACTTGGCAACAGAAGCCAGGCGTTATGTAAATATTCTACCATTATGTTATCGGATAATTTTCAATTCATGAAAGATGGTACAAATCTCATACTTAATTACTAGAATTACATTTTATCCTATTGTTAAACAAATGGTATTAACAAATTAAAAAAGTCATTCAACATTTAACTCAGAAAAATAAAGATTACATCTTTGGTGTGCTTAATAAAAGACACAGAAAAAAAGTTGTAGTACATGTATAATATATGTCTTTCAGACACGGTGAAAAATATCAGAAATTTACTGAATATCTATTACAGACACAGGCAATGAAATATAAAATCATACTATGAAATATTAATATATTGTAAACAAAATTATACTGAGAAAATATTAAATAGCGATATATAATATGATAATTTCATCATTCACAAAATAATATTTAAGCTACAATGTTCAATGACTATACTGTGTGTGCATGTGTGTACACTGTGCAATGTATGAATGTTGCAAATTGCCAAAACAACAAAGAAAACAAATTTAGATAACAAAAAATTATACCAACAATACTTACTTTCCATTTTTCGTTTGAGTCGTACTTTTGCAGCAGCCAAATCTTCTAAAGCTTGTGAATGTTCTTTTTTGAAATGTGTATTTAATGTGGCTATACCACCCTGAATAATATAGTGATATGTAAATCAAGACTAATTATAGCATTATAATACTGAATATAATTACATGGAGCTAAATATGACTATTAATGAGCACATAACTTGAAACATCCATGGTAGGACATTAGACAGGACCTCAGTTTTAAAAGTTTCTGACTCCAACTAAAAGTCTTAAAAATGACATTTTAAAAACCTTGGACCTGCCTTGTACTTTACACCATGCATAAATATTAATAAATTATTACCTCTGGTAAGGAGGATTTTTGTATTAATTGCACATACTTTAAACAAAATGAAATTTCAAATGAAAACACTTCTGCAGCAAACTGTCTATATTGGTTTCCGTTAGTGACTAGAAATTAATGTCGAGTTATCACTCATTCACAACAGGCTCGGTTTTATGTAACACTAACATTTAAATGGTCATATGATGACTTTCCAGCTTTATTAGTGGAGGAACTCTGATGCTTCTGCAAGCTGGAACCTGAGTATAGTACGCTTGCTTCATTAGTCACATGAAATGATCTAAACTTACTTGGCAGGATTTAAGAAATCCACATAGGTGAGGGATAACAAATCTCTCAAAGATGGAATAAACAACTTATAATGTAACATGGGCACAATCCCGAAGCTTAAACTTTAAAATAAAAAGAGTGGACCAATATTAATATTTACAGTTTTTACTACTGGTAGTTAAAATTCAATATTTAAATTAAGAAAAAAATAAATAGTAAAAAGTTACCCTGTATTTTTCATATTTCCGCAACAGTCCTTTGACATCATCTAGTGTGTTGTGTTCTTTTGATTCTATTTCATCCCTAAGCACTATGTTCTGTTCAATACTGCTAGCAGTTAAGATTTTAAACTTAAAGAAGCGTACATTTTTGTAAGTTTGTACTGACCAAACTTTATTTGTAAAAAATATTTCTTCTATACAGTCAATCTTGTTTTTCTGTGAATAGTGACAGAAATACAACATTACAAGAAACTTGTTACTTTTATATACCAGTAGACAAAACTGAGTAAATGTTCACCTTTTTTTATTGTAAGTTGTTATGTCTCATATTTTGCAAGTAAACATTTAGCAATATCATTTTAACACAGGGAATCTAACCAAACTGTTCAAGATTCAACAAATATTTTCTTTTAGTTTTATGTGTGTATCAGTATCTGACATCAAATATAGTTTGATATCATAAGATTAATATTGATTACTTCTAATCTGAATCCAGTAAGTTCCTGTGTTTCTCAATTTAAGGAGCATAGAAGAGAGCAGGGTCTAGTCCTTGTACTTTCAGCTGAAATATTGTGCTATTTTATGTATGGGCAATATACCTACCTTGAAGAGATCAAATGAGAATATGATCAAAAGCAAAGATTTCTTAAAAGTAAATGTTTGTATGATACTTCACTTTTTAACTTTAAAGACAATGTTTTTTCCCAAAGGATACAGTTCAGCATATCTTTTTTCATATTCATCTAAAGTTTGTTTCCTTGTCTTGATTCTTAACTGAAAAAAAAACAAGGTTAAAATATATAGGTAAGAAATTTAACATTCTTAAGATCTGAATATTCAACAACAAATATACCTTTTAGAAGTCTTTTCTAATAAGTGTAAATGACAGTTCAGGTGCCAATGAGCAATAACAATATCATAATAATTATGAACATTATTCAGTGCAATATGCCATCTTTGTATGCACATTGAAAAAAAATCCTCCAAATACAAGAAAAAAATCTTTCAATACAATCTAAAATCTTTAAATGCAATAATTTGCCAATATCAATAGCAAAGGTCTAAATGGTGGGATGGCCTTGTGGTTAAGGTGTCTGCCTCTCAACCCAGGGATCATGGGTTTGAACCTCACTGTAGTCATGACCATGTTTCCTAATAAAACACTGCTTGGTTCCAAGAAGTTGACTATGGAGTGTGGTTCAAATTTACAAGCTTTACATTCACAATCGATAGCTAAAATATAAAAGTTCAAAACTAATAATAAAAAATTAAAATAATACTTCTAAAATTTTCAATCTTTCTGTCCGTTCTTTATCTTCTTCTTGTAGCCTGGCATGTTCTTTTTTCTCCCTGTATGACATCTGACCATGACGACATGATTCTGCCGAGGCTGCCCGCTTTGCTTGCTCTTTTTGTGCTACAAACAACACATATTCAGCTAAATTATTTTACTATTTATAAACAACAACTATTCAGTAACCTTATCATTCAATAAAACATAGTAAAATTATCTGACGATAAATGTTGCAAATAAATGCTGCAAGTAGTATTATTGAGGTAATAATTGACATAAATCAAGTTACATTTCCTTACATGTAAAAACTATGGGAAAAAAATAGCATAGAAGACACTTCCAGCTATTTTGATAATATTCTAATTCCTGCCTATATAAATACATGTACTGTACACTATATCAGGCTTTTTTTCAAAACCTTATCATTTGACACCTTAGCGCTGTAATGGGTAAACTCCTATTAAATTTTGAAAGGAGTTAACTCATTACAGCACTAATGCTCAATAAATTAGATAGTCAAAGATCTCTGTAGATGGTCCCTCTGTATAGCAATAACCTCTATTCAACAATATCAATTCTTTCCAAATACTTCACAATAAATTTAACCTCTCTGGAGTAACACAACCAAAATCTGTATTGATCTCCAAAAGGGTGTTGCTCTGAAAACATTGAACAACACTAAGCGCTAGATAAACAAAATATTAATTTTGAATATGTCAGTGAAAAACAATAATTTGAAGTACCTTCTCTTACAGTTGGCCTTGTTTTTGTTTTCCTTGTCCATTTGTCATAATCGGTAAAATTGACATCAAATTGTGTACCAAGCTGCTGTAAAAGTTCATCGTTCTCAAACTGTGAGCGATCAATCCTACTAGTGGCTCTCTTACCCCAGTCTGATGACATCATTCTATATAATATACAAAAATAACTTATCGATAAAGAAGAAACATAGATATGAATATTTATTTCATCCTTTGATCTGAATTGTATGCGATCATGCAGATGCCTGAACCGAGCAATATTTAAACTGTTAGCTAGCCTGTAAGTAAAGAAAATATTCACTTCGGTCAATTTTGCTTCCTGTCAATAGATGAACTTGTTATTAATAATTTTAGCAACATACTGCCATATGAGGCCCATGTAAGAGCTTGCCATGTAACACTACCTGTATGGAGATAAGCAGATGATAAGATGAATACTTGTTTATTCCACAGAATTTTGTGCTATATAATCCAGCTATAAATAAATGATTTTGCTTTGATGTATAAAATAGCATGCATAGAGGCACTTCATTGCATATGCACTGTGATAACTGTACAAGGTAACTACATGTTCTAGAGTTTATCTGGAATTAATTAAATGTTCTCTTCAACAATTATAAATTAAAGAAGTCCATATTTTTTAAACATTTCATTGAAACATAATTTTATAAGAATAAATAATATTATATATACTATTATAACTCATAATTGTATTTATTTTACATCTTTATCAAATTTAAAGAAGGTGCCGAAGAGACCAGGATTTTGAGGGTGAAACGTCCAGGGCCAAAACTTCCAGGAGGTGAAACGGGAAAAGAGTCAACTCGGCCCTATACCAACTCGGCACGGGTCAACTCGGCCCACTTTACAAAAATATATATAACGTATTAACTTTGCTTTGCATGTTGTTAAGGTAAATGAATAATAAGAAATATCTTATTATTATATAATTATACATTGTACTTCTTCTGAAATAAAGTATATTTAGAAAAAATGTTATTTATCTGTCTTGCAGATTCGATAAAATTAATATAGATCTAGATTCTAATAAAATGTGTTTGTAAAGTAATATTTAAAAAAATATGAAACAAAAACGTGTTTACTTAATATCATAAGCTTCTAATTAAATCTTCCGTATAAGCGCATTGATTGCTGCCGAAATTCATTTGCACGTGTCATACGTTTTTTTTCTTCTATCAAATAGAAAGACCTTGCCTGTGCATTATCTAGTTAAAGTAATAAAGAACAGAACAGAAGTTAAATATGTAGAAATACAGTGAGATACGCAATCGTTTATCTTTACTCGCAATTCTACTGATAAGAAAAGCTTGTCTGCTGCTAGTTCAAAACTGTCAATCTGTGTATTATAAATAATTACAATAATTACAATAAATAGTGTTAACACAAACCTAAATATTGATTATTGAAAAGTGGGCCGAGTTGACCCGTGCCGAGTTGGAATAGGGCCGAGCTGACTCGGGGGCCGAGTACGTTTTAGGGCCGAGCTGACCCGGATTCTGTGAAACGTCTAGATACCTTTGAGTATCAACTTTCATGAATAAAGCAAGTGTGAAATATCTTCTTTGCTATTCAATAAATATATGTATTCATGTTGTAAACCCGATCAGGCAATGTGACCAGCCTGGTTAAGATATGGAAATGAAATAATGAAAAATGACTTTTGTGGCATCAATGTATGACAGTCACATTTTTCTCCATGTGCGACTATTCAATCTTGTTAATCGTGATATGATGTCCGTTAACATCATCCAGTATAATCAAATAATTGTTACGTATTTATGCTCACAAATAATTAATCAATGTTGTGCGAGTGTATTATCATTGTTTATCAATAGGATTATAAATTCTAACGAGACTTGCCTATCGTTTTTTTCTCTTTCGTAAATTTGATTTTAAAATTGGTGGAATGAGTCTCCAAGTAAAACTCTTTTCTGAAACATTGGTCAGGACTTTTAACACATATATTGCCTTCTATTTTTCCTTTACATTTTGTTTACAGCGGAAATTATCAAACAGGAAATAGAAATTTTGCTTCAGTCGGCCATATTGATTGAAATTGTCATGACAACTAAAGAGTATTTTCGGGGGAGATAATTTGGGTTAAACACCGCTAATTTATTTCCCTCTGTCTATTTTGATATGTTTTATTGTTAAAAACGATAACTTATAGAGGATATTTGTTTAGTTCAGTGTAAGATCGGAATATATTTCACCGAGTGAGCACCAAAAGGTATATTTCACGAGTGGCGCAGCCACGAGTGAAATATGAACTTTTGGTGTTCACAAGGTGAAATATATTTCGATCTTACACTAAACTAAACAAATTTTCTTTTTATTACATGCAAAGAAACGTTTTAAAAAGACATTAAACCTAATACTGAATGAAAAGCGCGCCAAATAATAATACAACGTGACGTCATTTACGACGTCACGGCATTAAGTTGGTACCCAGTACTGTGCACGCTGGTATTTCACTGAAACAACGTGAGGGGCTTAAATTCAAAACAGTGAAATTATCAAAGTGGTAATTTCACTGTTTCAAACAGTGAAATTACCAGTTTTATATCACTGATATATTTCTATAAACCACCGAAAAGCATGTAATAAATCATAATATTCCTACTACCTAACAATTTGTTCCAAAAAATCTCTTAACGAGAGATCACTTACTGTTCAGTTTAAGTGGCCTCAATGGAAATTAAATTATGAAATAACAAAAAATGGAAGTCATAAAATGAAAAATTGCTCACTGAGAAACTACTCAAAGCTAGTCCAACTAATTGTGTCAAAGAGTCATCAAGATAATTTTGGATTGGCAATGTCATTTTCAAACGGTTTTTTTTTAAAGATTTGACATCTTATAAAAAAAAACAGTCTGTTAAATGGGTCAAACTGTTGTCGCCAAATTAATTAGGTTTACTCAAAGCAAACTAAAAAGAACTTTCTCCATACTGCATGAACTGTTTAAATACACTGTGAATTTCTTACTGAATCTTGGACATTGGTCACTGCAAATTACTTATTATCTAAGACATTGCTCACTGGACAATACTTACATAATCTATGAAGTCCACTGAACAATATACTTTAATTGTACCTAGGACATTGCTCACTGTACTGACACTACTCATTGAATCGATGGGCCTAACTCACTGGAAATTATTCATCTTGCATCTGGAAATTTTTTTACTGAACATTTCTCTTTCCATGTAAGACATCACCCACTGAACATCGTTCATTACAGCTTGGACACTACTAACTGAACACTCATCATTTCAAATTGCTCACTGAAAAATCATTGTGTCTTTGATATTGTTCACTGAACACTACTCATTGTATATTTGAAATTGTTTTCTGAACGCTACTCATGTCTTTGACATTACTCACTAGGAAATACTCATAGTGTCTTTGACATTGCTAACTGAACACTATTCATTTTATCTTTGACATTGCTCACTAAACACTACATATTGTATTTTTGACATTGCTCACTGAACACTATTCATTGTATTACTCATTCTACATTGAATGAATGTATCTTTGACAATGCTTGCTCTTCAAATGAAGGAATCTAAAGTGCCTGAGGGAAGGGGGGTATTTGAACCCACAGAAAAAGGAAAGTGATTAGATGTCAGCTATTTTAACCACAAAGCCATGGGGGATTCTAGGAAAATGGGAAAATTTTACCTGACGACAAGCATATCTCTTGTAGACATGTCACTGCTCAAGTGGAAAAATAAAGCTGTGACTATCAGCAACTAGTTTTATATAATCTTTATTAAATAATGATCCTTACTAAATTTCAACCAACAAAAGAAAACAACAAAAACAGAAAGTCTAGTTTTAAAGTTTATTACCCTTCAAAGATCAATTCCGAAGACAAAAATAAACAAATGGTACAATACAGGTGACAATATGTATCATAACATGATGTTATACAAATCAACATGACTATAACATAATGTTATACAAATCAACATGCCTATAACATGATGTTATACAAATCAACATGATGTTATACAAATCAACATGACTAAAACATGTGACAATTTACAACCACATGAATTGAGAATAATCAAAATTAGAGCATTAGATAAACATGTACATGTAAAATAATCAACAATACCAAACAAGAATATCTGTAACACTTCAAGATTTCACTTTGACAGAGCTAAGATCATGGCTTGATTATGCAAAAATAAAATATATAAATCTATGTTTAGCCTTGACCTTGACCCAAATATACTAAAACCCAACATAAGGGTGAAGGTCAATGAAAGGTTATAGCACACCAAATATTTCTGGTATCAATCACTACATTAAGGAGCTATATTTGTGTGGCAGAAGAAAGGACACACTGGTGATTACATACTCCAAATTTAGGAGTAAAAAAAAGCTAGATCTTTGTCCTATTATTAAAATGCTGTTCAGATTCTAGATAACACAAAATGGTTATTAAGAGTCAGGAAAAAAAACTCTGAAAAGTGACTTAATGCTTTAATATAAACATATAGCAAATATGCAGCACTGATAAATATAAAAACATGAAGAATAATTACAATTGTTTTGGGGTATCAGTATGCCATCCATAGTGAAACACCATCTAAAAAGCAAAGGGGCTACAATTTAACAGAATAATAAATCAACATTATATGAAAGGTTTTGATTTCTGTAGTGAATTGTTGTTTAAATATGACAAAATCAATTGTGTTACAAGAGAATGTAAAAAAAACAACGTTTTTTTAAAAATACTTTTTGAAGATTATAAATTCAACAAACATGTATCTTTGTTCAAAAATGCAACATGTTTTAACAAGAATTACAAATACTATTTAACATTGACTAATTTCCCGTAAAATCATAATTATCCTGAAGCCATGCTCTTCTCTTCAGAAAATGTTTGTACATTTTCTGTACATTTTTGTCACATGAGAGGATTTTTTTCCCAAGAAAATACCAACACTTGCAAACATGTTCATTAGAGTATGTAACCCTTAATTAACGCAAGATATAGATATACATGTTTTGAGTGCACTCATTTATTTAAATTCTCCACAGACAAAATTATTTAAATTAGATAACATTGAAGACTTGGGCTGTGCATATTTGTAGAAAATATTGCACAATATTATTTTGATTTTTCAGCTATAAAGATCAACTATTATAATAGAATATAACAATTTAAATAAAACACATTCAGGGCTTCATTTATCAAAAATAAATATGATAAAATCAAATAGAAATTCCTATATGAAGTGGTTAATATATGGACTGAGGTAGTCATGTCTTTGTTCAATGCATTTTTGGTACTATGAAAATCATCAACAAAAGTTTGAAACATTTTGACTGAAATATTTTGCATTGTAAAGTGGAACATTTTGTCTATATAAACTATAAATATGCAAGTACTTCAACCATCAACTTGGTTTAAAAGCTATCAATATAATATAACTATGATAATACTTATGAAAAGTCTGCATCAAGAAGCTACATTTATTATGAAACATTATTTTGTATTCAACTTTAAAATATTACACAGATATTTATCATTATAATACAACTTAATAAAGAGACTCCACTGAGGTTTCACATATAGAATATTTTTTTAATATCTACATTTATATACCACTTGGTTAAGGTCTAGACCAATTATTTGTGTGCAAAATTTCAGATCATTTGCTCAGCTAATAACTATTTTACATGTGAAAAAATGACCAAAAAATAAAAAGGGAATAAACCCTTGGTAAAGAATCAGATTTTTTTTACAATTTTCAGTTTAATTCCAAGAACTCATCTTCATATCTTTTGCATATCTTTCTTCCTAAAGTGCCCCAGTTAATGTAAGTAAAGAAATTCAAATTTTATGTTTCTAAGTGAAGCTCCTTGGATTTAAAAAAATAAATATGTTTTTTAACCTGATTAAAAAAAATTAAATGAAATGTAACAAATATTTTGTGATTTCTGTGTGACAGTTTTAGGACATAAAAGCATGACTCTTGTGACAATTAATATATGATTTCATAAATGTAAATAACACTTTTTAAAGCTGCAAATGAAATTATTTTGGCAGCAAAATTCATTGCTCAAAACGTCAAGACTGCACCAAAAATATTTTTTAGATTTTCAAATAAGAGCTGTAACATGAATATTTTTACATTTATAAACCTACTATATATGTTTTGTTCTCATTTCATGCTGGATAATATAGAATATATGGTTTCATATTTTAGACACAGTATCAATTATTTCTACAGATAGTAAAGAAGAAAACATCCTGAATTAATTTTCCATTCTTGCATTGTAAAAACAGTATTGAAACAAATTCAAGATAAAACAGTTGCCATCTTGGTGCAGAAACGGGTTAACTCCTTATATATTTAATAGGAGTTAACCTGTTACTGCATTAAGGTGATGTAATGTAACAGTAAAAAGACAATATTGAAAGGGGAAAACATAAAAACAGATCTATAATCTAGAATGAGTAATTGATTGTCAGAAATAAAGAATACTGGTAAAAAAACACAAAAATTAAAACAAATAACAGAGAGCTGAAAAGCATAGCAACCTTTCAGTCAAAAGAGTTTATACATGTCACTTTATAGAAGAAAACATTATACATTATTTAAATAATGTAGTTGATCATGCAACAACTTGATATAATTCAACATAGAAATTAATCAAATAGAATTGCAAACATTTGTTGTTGAAAAACTTAATCAATAAAAGGAACATTGTTCCTTCAAAACAATTGTTCTCACATTGTATTTTTAAGCAATGATTTTTTTTGCTAGAAAATTTGTTTGTATTATTCTAATTGATGTATAAACACATATAGAGGATGAAACATTGTTTGAACTAAATCAAAATATTCACATCGACCTGTGTTTTATAAATACAAGGGGTATAAGGTATATTTATTTTTCAATGGTGATATTTAAAATTATCATAATGCATTTAGAATACATCTCCTATTTAAAGAAGTGGTTTGTCCATTGTTAACAAAACATTAATAGTTGTGATAGTTTGAAAATGATTTAGATCTATACAGGTATAAAAAAAAGTGTCAATTAGTGTTAAACTCATTTTCATGTAAAGGATTACTGCCACAATGAAAAGAGAATATTCCTTACCAAAACAAAGATATATGATGTTATATGTGTTTTAAATCAAAATTTCAATGCTTAAAAGTCATGTAGATATATTTCAAAAGGTTTTTTTTCCCATCATAATTTAAGAGCTATTATCTATATTTTGCACCTGTGGCTTACCATGATAAGAAATATATATAAGCATTTTCATTTCAAATAGAAGAAAACACATTAATCACCCCCTTTGTTGGTTTCTTTAACCCAATCTATTAAAACTAAAACCATTTCCGCAATCACATAAATACAAAAGCTATGCGTACATCAAAAATATCCTGAAATAGCTAAAAATGTGTGCATTACGTAGATTTAAGATATAATTCAAGTCATGCTTCTTGGATTTATACTGTCTAGAAATATCTAAATATTTATTGTGATTGCCCTCTGGAGAAATTCTTGGAACACTTTAAAAGGTGAAATATAAATCATTCCTAGAATCAAACAGCTTTAAATTCTAAATTGTTGAAATTAAAATTTACATTAAAATGCATTTTTTTCTACGATTTGTAGATCAAAATGGCAAATAAATCAATCTAATCTACCTACAGGGACTGTTGTATAAAATTCTCCTACATATCAATAGAGAAGCTGCATTAAACCAGGATTTCTGCTTTTCAAAACTGAGACATCTTGTCTCAGATTGTAAACTACATCATGATTGGTCAATTTCAAATTGAAATTTGAAGAAAACAGCCAATCCAATTTTTTTGACATAATCAAAGACCACAGTGCAAAATAACCACAGATTTAACTAAAGTTCAAAGAATCTAAATTCTTCGGTTTTTGAAAATTTTATAGTGTATTTCACCAGTAATAGTGTTAAAATTTACAATTTTAAAGTAGTTAATACATGATGCCATTAATTGATATCTTTTTTTGTCATCATTTCAGCATAATTATACAATTTATACCTGTAGGTTATCTACTTATATGGGCAATGAGTATAAGTACATAAATTAACACAAAATTATGTTCTTGGTAATATAAACAAAACATAAATCAAATTACCCTGGAAAAAAACAACAGAACAAAACAAACAACAACAATGATAATAATAATAATGATAATAATAATTAAAATGGAAATCAATATACAATGACCATTCTTTAAAATGCTAAAACTGCCAGTTTTATAGACCATTTCAATGCTTAAACCAAAACTACAAAGCCATTGACACTTGTAGTATAGAGCCAGGCCAGCCTTCACTTTCTGTGTTGTCTGCTCAGACTGTAACATGGATGTTTCATCCTAATATCCCTAAAATCAATAATAGACTATTTCAAAATGAAAGTTGGACAAGTCCATTTTAGAAATTCAGTAGGTTTTGAGACAAGAAATACAACTTTATTAAGCTTTAACAAATAATTTACTTTTGGGACCATTCTAGAAAATGTATTTATGATTAGATCTCTGTACATTTCCAAACTGAACTACATTTATTACTTCATATAACAGCTATTTTTACATGTAGGAGACCAGTCTGTTAAACAAACCCTACCACTGGTCATTTCAAATTTTTGTTCAGGATTAACCAATCAGATTCTTAAATTTTTTGACTTGTCCTCAGTCTCAATTTTTTTACCCTCAAGTTATAAATATTACTCTATCATTCACAATGATGACTCAGTAAAATCTTATGAAAATCTTACATGAAAATTACTGTACTATCTAATGAGACAATCTATCATCATAAACATTTTCTAATTTGAAAACACCAATTATTTGTAAATGCGGAGACTTTACTGCCACAATTTTCTACAATATCATACATTGTCAGATAACAGCATTTTATTGCCAATTAACTGAGTGATATAACAGAAAATAATCATGTTTTCTTTAATTAAAGATACAATTTTTATGAATGTGTTTTGCAAAAGAAAGGCATCATCATTTTCCTTATGAAACTATTACACTTTGCATTTACTTATTTAAGGATACAGCTTGGTTACAATATTTTTATCTTCTTAAAAAAAGCTAACCAAAGTACTTAAATAAAGTTTTAGGAAATTTCAATATCAAAATACAAAAATTGTGCTACCAACATTATGGAGCCTGGTCAGACTGTGCAGGCTAGCCTGGTTGTATACTGGTGACAAAGGCCAATCACACTTTTGGATAAAGTCGGGTAAAGGTTAATCAAGTACAGTATATACATGTACAATGAGTCACTAATAAAAACACTACATGGCAACATTTAATGGCAAGATTAAAATCCAACAATATTTCTCCTGGATTTTTGTTTTTATACATTTTTATCCTAATTGTCACATAAAAAGGGACCATCTTTCAAAGAATGGTCCCATTAAACCTGACACTTCACAATCTTGAAATTATGAATAAAATCCAATATTAATACTTCTATATAATATGCCTTATTTTAAAAACAATCATGTAATTAAGAAAACAACTGTGGTAAACTCAACAAGAAACAACGGTAGCTAAAAATAACATTATTGTTAAAAAAAATTTGAACAATCAGCACTGGCTCTTCTGTTGTATATACAACAATAAAACAATTCAAGATTCAAATAAAACAAACCACAAACCCCAATGTCAAGATTTAGCTTAAACAAAGTTTTAAAATGTCATTAAAATACTGCAATATCATTTTGTTGGTAAAAGATGTTATAAAATGAATCTGATAATAAAATCATTAAAAACCCAGCAGGACATAATACATGTTGCCTGTGTAGGACAAAATGACCGTATATTTGGGATATTTTCAAGAATAAATTGGGAATTTTCAACAGTTTATTCTGGCTATTGTATGGTAAAATAATCAGACACTTACCTTCACCATCCACTTTTAAAGAGAAAATTTGTATTAGGTATGGGTTCTAGACTGAAGTTAGGAAAACCAATCAGATAAATGAATAAATATTACCTTTTTTTATATTATCAAGATTAATAAATACTGTAACATCACAGATTTGTATGTGATTAAATTTTACTAATTTTGCGAATTGAACATTTTCTCAAAAATTTATTTTACCTAAAAATCATATAAATTTAACAGAACTAAAAGTAGAAATTTGCAGATATTTAACCTTTCGAATTTTGTCTGAAAAGTTGATGTTTCGAAATTTTGGGCTCACAAAAATGACTATTTTTACAGTATCCCCTAGATACCTCTCATCTAAGTACATGTTCTGTGTAATGCAGATAATGATTGTTTTCATGTTAGCTAAATACAAGGGGGAATCTTGTAAATGTTTGGTATTTTACAAAATCAATTCAAAGAATTATATACAATTGATATGAAAATTACAAAATGGTAATTAACTTTTGTACAACCTTTGAGAACATATCTGTACAATTCAATATGAAACAAAGCATTTCAGTTTACCCTTAAACATATATTGGTATAACTTTTATGGTTTAGGTCATGAAATTTTCTAGTTTTTAGCAAAGAGAGTGCTATTTTCAAAGAATATATTCACAATTTATGAGGATATGAATGAAAAAAAGTTTGTTAACAATTCATGTTACATTTAATATGTACATATTCAAAAACATGAATGTTACTTTTCCCTTTGTGAAAACAATTTTTTTCTTAATGTATGAAAATATTTACCGATCTAAGAAAAAGCACCATATATTTTCATAAAAATTATTTCCATTAGAGCCCGCAATAAATACCATATTACCTAAATGTTTTAGCACTAGATTCACTTAATAAATACACTTTTATCTTTCTGAGTATCATAAAAATAATGTATGTAATGCTTTTTGTCTAATAAAATATGAAATTACATCTTGTTTTGTAAAAACTACATGTATTGACTCTAGAATTAAAAACTTTTTCAAATTTCAGTACACAATTTTAATGGGATGCAAGTCAAACATCATCATGTCATCTGTATTTCTGGATGACTGATATATTCAACTTGCTATCAGATGGTTTTGTTTTTAGCTGCATTGCATACTTTGATTCCTTAATTTGACCTCCTTTCCCGACGGCCCATCTGCCATCACTGCTTCATACTGGCCATTTCTCATCCTTCGTTCATCGAGAAATAATGCAGACCTTTCATGTCCTTAGGAGAGCTGATTTCCACTACACATTTCTAAAGCCATCTGTTATACCTTTGAGATTTCACTACCGGGACTGGCACTACAGCATTATGCCGTCTTTTCACCACATTTTTATAAATCGAACACCCCTTTCCGTTTTAATCAAAAACATTTCATCGCAAAAAATGCCTGTAACTATATCACTATAAATTCACTGGCAGCATTACTTTGTCTGTGTTATGAGCGTATGTTACGCTATTGTTTGAATGATGTGATTTCCCCGATTTACTGCTGGTCGGCGTGTGTGAACGGTGATACGAAGGTGCCTGAGAGTTAGAGTATACGCTACTTGAGTAGCCGAACTGGTTATGATTATATCCAGAGTCACGAGTAAATGCTGAGTTTTGAGTATGAGCGGAATACACTGATCCGTGCGGGGACGGGTATACAGGGTGCATGGGATAATAACCTTGGTGTGTTGGATTTCCGAATGGATTCATTTGATGTTGAGGAGGACCTGAAAGAAAGTAGAAGAATATGATATCCATAATTAATGTGTCATGTATTCATTTTCTCATTCAATTTTACTGTCACTTATATATAATTTTAATTGCTATTAACCAAAGTACATTACATGTATATTAACCTTGTAATACAGATATTTACTGCTTAATAATTTCAAGAAGTTAGCAAGTGCTGCAATGACTCTTATTAAATTCAATAATTCATCATGCATTGTATCAGAGAAAAGTCTTAAGAAATTATTATCTTCTGCTTTTCCCTCTATACAAATCAATATAAAATATTGTGACAACTGACAGTGGGGTGTTACATGCACTGAATAACCTCATTAAATCAATAGTTAAAAATCATTCTCTACTGTATTGAATGGCATGAAAAAAGGCTACCCTGATGCTGACTGGTGTTACACATTTGTATCAAAAGACTGGTTGTCAAAAAATTTATTGTAAGTGACTGGTTCCGACACATTTTGCTTCCATTGACTGGTTGTCAAAAGTTTTTAAACACAATGTAATTTAAAGTCATATTTTGCACTTATAAACAAAGAAATATTCAAGACTGCCAGCCTGCTTTAATGAAATTTCAGATGATGCAAAAAGAACAAGAAACAGCAAAAATAATTCTGATAAAAATCTAGTAATCCATAAATTCATGAAGATGTGAATAATAAATTGACAAAAGTTGTTTTCTGTCCTTTTTATTCATAAATTGCCTATTTAAATACTAAAATGGTTATTAAAAGTGGAATAATTCATTAATTTCCAAGTATTTGTTAAAATCTATATTTCCTCTGTACCTCTATCAATTTGTGTCATGTGACCATTACCATGGTGATTTGCTGCATGATGAGTGCTACCATGATGGCTGCCATGATGACTACCATGTACACTACCATGATGACTTCCTGGTCCTCCATTTGTCATAACCGATGTCGTCCCGGTCATTATACCACTTGAGCTACTGCTTGGCGCCTTTTTGCAGACAGACTGCCGGCAACAACACACCAGTGAAATAGTGCAGAAAATACAGACAATCAGTCCCCCAACAATAATTCCAACTGATGCCGCCACTCCTAATGACAGGAATTTGGTTAAAATGGTTTCATCTGAAATAAAAGAAATGAATACTAGTAATCATTAATGATAATACTGTTAAATCCTTAAAAATAATTAGAATGCTGTCTTAGACTATTATACACATGTACTTTCACAAACATAATTATTCATTACCTGAAATAATTTATACAATTAATGAAATCTTAGGATACATGTATTCTGATGTGGCCAATGTTATATACTAATGACAACTACATTAAACCTTACCACACCAAATATATTAAATGGACTTGTACACCTTTCATTCTGGACAAAACCATTCATTATTTTTAGGGAAATTTTCAAAATATGTACTGACTGATAGCAAACAGTGCAGACCATAATCAAAACAGCACACATGTGCAGGCATATTTGATCTGCACTGGTCATATTGGCACTGGTCTAATAAAACAAAATAATCAAAAGCTTATTATTGAGGACATATTAATTTTCTCAAAATTTTATTTTTCTCGATCCTAACAATAACATCACCTGTCTTTCAAACATAAGAAAATTTCTTTTTGTCCTATCTGACAGCCATGTCGGAATGACGCACATGTCTTGAACAACATCTGTCTTTAGAGATATCCCCAAATGAGTTTGAAATGGTATATAATACTGACAGACGCCATCCAATTAGGAATTCTTAATAAACTAGCAAAGTTGCAATATGGTACATTGTTACATCTCTCTCATCAATCACTAACCATATAAGGATATACTTTAGAAAAAAAAAAGCTGTATTATCTACCAGCAATAAAAGCAGTATCAGGAAATGCTGAGATAACACATTTTATGTTTCAAACTTCAAACAGTTGCTCTTTTTGTGCCCTTTATAAAGTGTCTGATTTTAAAGAGAGACAAAGTCCTATATAGCACCATGTCATGCAAGGTTAGACAAATTATTGTAGTTCTTGCCTGAAATTTATAATGCATCATAAACAACTTTTTTTTTTTCCTAAACATACAATGCATATGTGATGTTGGGAAATTTAAGCCACCATTAAATTCTGTCAAAAGCAGTCATATATAAAACAAGCAAATTCGTTGAATTTATATCCCCCGCCGAGTACTGGTTATTATTAACACAACAACTGAAGACATAAGGCTTTATTTATATATTAATCATGGCATAAACTGTAATATTCTTTGAACTTGAAGCCTTGTACCTTCAAACAAGAAGAATTTTTAAGTTTTCACTATATACATATAAGGAAAATCTATGACCCCCTGGAGTGGGGCCAATTTTGACCCCAGGGCTAAAATTTGAACAATTTGGGTAGAGGACCTATAGGTTATATCATATACCAAATATCAAAGCTTTAGGCCTTGTACTTTCAGACAAGATTTTTTAATTTTGCATTTTTGAAACTCCTTTTCTGGCCCTGTGACCTACTTATGCAACAGACCGGAACCATTTGATCAACTTTGGCAGGGGACCACCCTAGGATCATTCCTGTAAAGTTTGGTTGCTGTGCAGTCATTTGTTTCTGAGGAGATGTTGTTTAAAGAAATTGCTGACGACACACGACGACGAACGGTGGGGGATCACAATAGCTCACCTAGATGTAAAAACATCTTAATCTCCAGACTTCATTGCCATTTTCAAGGCATCAAGAAGGGATCTCACAATTTTCAAATATTTTTAAATGTTATTGTAACAAATCATTTTAATTCTTCTTTAATAAAAACTAGAAATGTGTACATAGGACACGGGTGCCCCCACCGCGCCACTGTTCTGTCAATCTTATGACTCTAGGTCAAATATTTTTTGAAAACTAAAAATCTTTTACTAAGTAAAGGGCAAGAACTTTACAAATACTGAATAAATCCCCAAGCAAACCCCAAGTTGAAAATTGCAAATTTATACTACTGTAATTCAAGGGCAATAAATCTAACAAAACTGAAAAAAATCCACATGCAAAGTCCCAAGTTCATAGCTTCACAGTGAGGTGAATCATTATTCCTGTAATTTAGTGATGTTGATCATTATTCCTGTAAAGTTGGTCGATTCTAACTCAAGCACTCAAGCACTCAAGGATCAAATAACAACATAATGAAACAGTTTTTACTAAGTCAAGGGAAATAACTCTACAAATACTGGATAAATCCACAAGCGAAACCCCAGGAACAAACTAAATATGCTGAGCAACTTTCCAATAAGGTTTAATGACTCTATGTCAAATCCTTTTTGAGTTACATGCGACACTGTTGAAAATTACAAACATTTTCTAAGTCAAGGGCAATAACTCTAAAAATACTAAATAATTTGAGACGAAAATACCCAGGTGCACAACTACACATGCTGATCAACATTCCTGTAAAGTATCATGACTCTAGGTCAAATACTTTTTGAGTTACATGCGACACAAGTTGAAAATTGCAAAATTTTACTAAGTCAAGGGCAATAACTCTAAAAATACTAAAAATATCCAGATGAAAATGCCCAGGTGCACAACTACACATACTGATCAACATTCCTGTAAAGTTTCATGACTCTAGGTCAAATACTTTTTGAGTTACATGCGACACAAGTTGAAAATTGCAAAATTTTACTAAGTCAAGGGCAATAACTCTAAAAATACTAAAAATATCCAGACGAAAATACCTAGGTGCACAACTACACATACTGATCAACATTCCTGTAAAGTTTCATGACACTAGGTCAAATACTTTTTGAGTTACACGCGACACAAGTTGAAAATTACAAAATTTTACTAAGTCAAGGGCAATAACTCTAAAAATACTAAAGATATCCAGACAAAAATACCCAGGTGCACAACTTCACATGCTGATCAACATTCCCATAAAGTTTCGTTGAATTCCAGCCACTAGTTGCAGAGAACTACTCCGGAAACGAAATTCGGACGGACGGATGGACGGACGGACAACGCCAAAACTATATCCCCCTCCCGATTCCATCGGCGGGGGATAACAAAGGTATAATTTTCAGTATAAGGACAAATTGTTCATCATTCTATATGCTAACATATATACTCGTACATGGAACATAATGATAATGTCATTTTTCGTGATTTCATGACAAAAAAACAATTACTGACGCAGCAAATGATTTAAAGTCCGGAACTTTAACTGCTCGGCCAAGAGGCTCGGCTCCAATCAGTTCTTAAAATACAAGCTGACCAAGTAAAAAAAATAATTACACAGGGTAAGAAATTAAGAAACTACTTGACTTGCATATACTTTTACCTACGATATACATAAAGCCAATCTCAAATTCATGAATCTTTATGATTTTTGTTTTATCAATATACTAGGTTATTTCATTTATGATCATTACTCCCTTTTACCTTTGAAGATCACATAATTTGAACAGAAATTATTTAACGGATAGAACCTATAAAAAGAAATTAATAAGTTTATTTCAAGATATTTTACAATAAAAAAAATGTTTTGAAATGTTTATCTTGTTTGAGTATTAAGACATTTTATGGCTTTATACCACATAATTCATTTGGGAAAATTTATGATGTTTCCTCCCCAATCAAAGAGTAATTTACTGACTCTAATCTTGAATAATCCAATATTATCCATAGGGGATTCTAAGCTCTGGAAATTATTGTAATGATAATTTACAGGAAAGCTACCATCTTGTCTGTGTTTAAAGTGTCTTGTCTACAGTTAAAGTATCTTTGGCCTCTACTATGACTACATGGTTTCCCTGTAAATTTTCTTTTTGAAAAGATAAACTGATAGTTAGCCTGACTTAATGTAGCATATGCAATAAAGATGAACAGGTTGTGATTTGATTTTTTTTGTTGTTGAAGATTTTAGATTTAAGAATTTATAAGAGGTTATAGGATTTAACAAATCTTCAGAAAAAAAATATAAAAATTAACTAACTCTCATGTAAATTTGCTACTGCAAATTGTTCCAAAAAAATCAAGAATTCAATACATTTGTGTACAGATAAACAAATAAGAATGCTTAAAGAAATATTGCCAAAGTGGTTATATGTCAATAACACTGACCTACCAAATTTTCCCAGAAAATCTCTGGAATTTTTTTTCTCTATCTGCACTAATGAATAAACTGACATTCATCATCAGTTCTTTCCGGTACTAATGAACAGATTGTGCAAATCGGCACTTTTTTTTGACGGGGGCTTCAAGCAGATTAGCTGGTCATCGTTCCTCTTAAATGAAGAATGGTTGTCAGGAATATTTCTTGTTATGTCAATTACTATATGTAGGAAGATTTATAATGTACACATTTGGTTCAATCATCATCGGTAAAAGGTGTAAGAAAGTGTAAAATTTTTCGCTTCAACACAAGAACTAGATAATTAGGTACGATCGCCTCATCAAAATTAATTAAGAAACTTTTTTTCTTTCCCAGGATCTAGGTCAAGAACATAAAAGATGTTGACAACTATTTCCCAATAGTGCTTGTGTTTATAATAACTTTCTCTGCCAGATGGTGCAGAATGATGTACTTACAGAACAATAAAATCTGATAAATTCTGAAGAGGAAAACTCAATATTGTCACAATCATAAATCAAACACATTATGACCTAGTACCAGACTTCCTTGTCTTCAGTACAACCTTAATATTCCAAATAGGTAAATTCTGTTTAGTCAGCAATTCAAACTGAAAAACACGAAACAACACAATATAATATCATTTCCCACATACAAAGAGGTAAAAACATTTAACAATATCAATCTTTTCTCCCAATGTCCTTCAGTCAATCTTCCTGGTTTATGAATCACATCATTTTTTCAAGTAATTTCATGTTCCATTCATATAGCAGATGATGTCTTTCAATGCCACAAGATTAAAAGAACTAAGAAATCTGTGAGACTTTGGCTTTTGTTTTGTACTCAGAAATCTGTGTACTCTTACTCTAAAATTAGAAACTAGTATGACCATGAGCTTTGTTTTATTCTTTTACTGTGAAATAAGAAATCTTTGTGACCTTGCTCTTTAATATGAAATATGTATGACCTTGACCTTTATTATGTACTCTTATTGTAAAATTAGAAACTA